GGCGTGGTGGCATGCACATTATAGCCCCAACTATTTGGGACGCTGAGATGGGAGGATCACTTCAGCCCAGGAGGTCGAGGCTGCAGTGACCCGTGATCACTCCACTGCACTACAGCCTGGGTGACAGAGCAAGACCCTGGTTCAAAAAATAAAGGTATCCACGTCATTGCCCAAAACACCCCCTCTGCGCGGACCACGGAACGTGGTGCAGGCTTGAGCATAAGACCTGACAGCCCCCGGCCACCTCGGGTGACTGCAAGTAAGGACCGCCAAGCTGAGGGGCCTGTGAGGCAGAGTGGGGCCTCCGTCAGGCTGGTGTCATCTCCACAGGGCTGCTTGTGGGTGGTCCTGGAGCCTCCAGAGGTTGGGAGATGGGGCCAGGACGCAGGAAGCTCAGGGGAGGGCCCTCTCAGCAGTCACTCCCAGATGGAAAAGAGCAGCCGCCATGACTGCGCTGCGCCTGGCTTGTGAGGATGCCTCCAGAAGCTTGAAGGAGTGAACCAGTGAACAAAGGAACAGACACAGTACAGGAAGGGAGAGAGCGAGGACTGAGGTGGCTCATGCTTTGCACAGGACTCAGATTGCAGAGTCGAGGGGGCAGCCTTCTCACAGCACAGAGACTGCGTCTGCTGCCCACCCTCCCGGCCGGAGCTTCTCATTCAGTGGGTCTGGGGGAGCCCTGGGAGGTGTTATGTCATTAATTCTTTCCAACGTTCAAAAATTGTTAAATACAGGCCAGGCGCTGTGACTTGTGCCAGTAATCCAGTGCTTTGGGAGGCCCAGGCGAGAGGCTGCAGTGACCTGTGTGATCACTTGAAGACAGGAGTTCAAGACCAGCCTGGGGAAGACAGCAAGAACCCATCTCTAAAACAAAAACCTACCAAAAATAGTAACCAATTGTTGATATAAAAAGTAAAAAAGGCACACATCATTTCAAAGTTGACGCTGGGTGTGGTGGCTCATGCCTGTAATCCCAGCACTTTGGGAGGCCACGGCAGGCAGATCATTTGCAGTGAGGAGTTCGAGACCAGCCTGGCCAACGTGGTGAAACCTCATCTCTACTAAAAATACAAAAACTAATAATAATAATTAGCCAGGCATGGTGGCATGTGCCTGCAATCCCAGTTACTTGGGAGGCTGAGGCAGGAGAATTGCTTGAACCCGGGAGGCAGAGATTGCAGTGACCCAAGATTGCACCACTGCACTCCAGCCTGGGCCACACAGCAAGACTCGATCTCAAAAAAAAAAGAAAGAAAACAAAATTGAGTGCATCTCTCTCATGTCCCCACCTAGGGCCGTTCTCATCCTTTTTTGTCTGTCAGTCTGAGATGGGGTCTTGCTTATTGCCCAGGATGGAGAGCAGTGACACAATCTTGGCTCGCTGAACCTCCACCTCCCAGGCTCAAGCGATCCGGTCACTTCAGCCTGACGAGTGGCTGGGAAGACAGGCGCGCACCAGCATGCCCAGCTCATTTTTTAATATTTTTGTAGAAACAGGGTTTCGCCATGTTGCCCAGGCTGGTCCTGAACTCCTGAGCTCAAGCAATCCACCCATCTCAGCTTCCCAAAGTGCTGGGATTATAGGCATGAGCCACTGAGCCTCACCTCTTTGTTATTATTAATTTTTGAGACAGGGTCTTCCTCTGTCGTCCAGGCTGGAGTGCAGTGGCGCAATAATGGCTCACTGCAGCCTCGACCTCTTAGGCGTGTGAGCCTCCCACCTCAGCCTCCTGAGTAGCTGGGACTGCAAGGCACACGCCACCACGCCTGGCTAACTGGTATATTTTTTGTAGAGATGGGGTCTCACTATGTTGCCCAAGCTGGTCTTGAATTTCTGGGCTCAAGCAATCCCCCTGCCACATCCTCCCAAAGTATTGGGGTTACAGGTGTGAGCCACTGTGCCTGGCCTCATCCTTTTTAAAAAAGCATTTACATTTCCTTTAATACATTTTTTTTTTTAAGACGGAGTTCCATTCTGTCATCCAGGCTATAGTGCAGGGGCATAATCTCGGCTCACTGCAACCTCTGCCTCCCGGGTTCAAGCAATTCTCCTGCCTCAGCCTCCCAAGTAGCTGAGATTACAGGCGCTCACCACCACACCCAGCTAATTTTTGTATTTTTAGTAAAGATGAGGTTTCCCCATGTTGGCCAGGCTGGTCTCAAACTCCTGTTTCAAGCGATCCGCCCACCTAGGCCCCCCAAAGTTCTGGGATTATGGGTGTGAGCCACCGTGCCCAGCCTCTAACAATTCAATATGGGATTGCCCTGTGATCTGGCAATTCTGCTTCACATTCACATGCTCACAAGAACTGAAGTAGAGTCTCTCTGAGAGATCCACACACACCCACATGCTCAGCAGCACAAGTCACAGCAGCCAAAAGGTAGAAGCCACCAAGCGTCAGGTGTCCACGGACAGATGGGCACCCACGATGGGATCCACCCACACAGTGGAATAGTCACAGCCTTAAAGTGGATGGGAATCCTCACACAGGCTACAACTCAGACTCTGAGGGCACTGTGCTGAGTGAAGTAAGCCCGACACGAAGGCACAAGGACTGAATGATTCCACCTGCACGAGGTACCAAGACTCGCCAGATTCAGACAGGTAGGAAGGCAGAGGCCAGGGCTGGAGAGGAGAACGGGAAGTGAGTGTTTAATGGGGACGGAGATTCAATTTGGGGAGAAGAGAAATTGTGGAGGCAGATGCTGGTGACAGATGCACAGTGTGAACATGCTTAGTGGCACTGAACTGTGCACTTTAAATGGTGAAGATGGCAGCTTTTGTGATGTACCTGCACCAGTTTTAAAATGCGCTTACATGTGAGAGTCCATGCATGCAGGGGCATGTTGCATCTCTTCCTGTGTCTGGGCCATTTCTCAGGAAGCCCCCCACCCCGCCCTCATTCTGTGGAATCCTCCATGTCTCAGCCACCCCTCGCGATGAATGGGCTTGGGCCGGGTCCCCTGATGCCATCATCATACACAGCACTGCCTTCCTGCACACCAGACGTGGCGCTGCTAGGCTAGTGGGGCCCCCGGATGTGTGGTGACTGCCAAGAGGACCCCCAGTGGGGCTGTGCCTATTCACCCTCTCCCCGAGGGCTGCAGTGCCAACCTCCCCACGGCCAGGCCAATGGTGGGCACTCTGTACTTTAAACAAAAGTCAAACTGGGCTGGGCACCACGACTCACACCTGTAATCCAGCACTTTCGGAGGCCAAGGTGAGTGGATCACTTGGGTTCAGGAGTTTGAGACCAGCCTGGCCAACATGGTAAAGCTCTCTCTACTAAAAATAGAAGAAATTAGTCAAGTGCAGTGGCATGTACCTGTAATCCCAGCTACTCGGGAGGCTGACGCAGGAGAACTGCTTTGCCCTGGGAGGTGGAGGTTGCAGTGAACTGAGATCATGCCACTGCACTCCAGCCTGGGCTGGAGTGAGATCCTGTCAAACAAAACCAAAAGCAATCTGGCGTCAAAACCTGGTGTCTTGTCTCCATGTACATGTCTCTGTCCTGGGATGGGGCGGCCGTCTCTCTAGGTGTCTGTGGCCTTTGGCATGGCTCTTTCCCCTCTTCATGTGCTTGGGTCTGTTTGAAAGGCCCCATTCATAGGCTGAATGGTGGCCCCCCAAAAAGACGTATTCACGTCCTACTCCCCAAAACCCATGGATGTGACCTTTGATGGCAAAAGAGTGAACATGACCTCAGTGGCTAGGGAGTGAGGGAGACGAGGCCCCCGAGAGCTGGAGCTCATCCTGGACTCCCCAGGTGGGCCACCGCGTGTGCCTCACAAGGGAGAACCACAGAGAAGCAGACACAGGGTGAGGGGCCTTGTGAGACAGAGGCAGAGATTGGAGGGAAGTGGCCGCAAGCCAAGCAATGCCTGGAACCCCCAGATGATGAGAAAGGGTCCCCGTGTAAGGTCTGGTGTTCTGGTTCTTGGGGGGGGGGGGCACAGCGTGATGTAAGGGGGCAGGTTGAGACCCAGGGACGGCCTCAGGCCCTCGATGGTGGCCCCCATGCTGGGGCAGCAGACGCTAGCAACTCTGGCCAGCACCTGCGCCCGAGGCCCCATCTCCAGACGTCCCCTCTTGTCCTCCCGGCCCTGCACCCTCCTTGCTCAGTGAGGCACTGTCCTCCTTCCTCGACTGGCTCCAGCCAGGTGGGCCCTGGTGAGGGCCAGTGTGGGCAGCCATGCCCAGGTTCTGCGTGCCGAGGATGTGAGGCTTCTCCCCACGTCTCAGATGCAGAAACAGACCTAGGGAGATCTGGAAAGTTGGTGGACACCACAGACTTCTTGAGGAGCCTGACAAGGGTGCCCTGAGTGGGTCTGCCCTGAGTGGGGTCCTGGACAGTCGTAGCTGCCCTGTTTGTCCTGGCTGGGCTGGGCCAGGCTGTTGGGTTGTCATGGAAAGTAATATCTGGCTGCCTCCCTGAGAACTGAGTCAGCATCGCCAGGACGGGCCAGTGGTTGGCACCTTGGGGACAGCCTGGCAGGTGGGGCCTCCCTCAGGCACAAGGTGACCTGCCCTCGGCCGGAGGCATCCAGGCCTCACCCTGCAAGACCTGGGCCCTGGCTTCCGTCCTGAGCCTCGGGTCTGTGTCCCTTACATGGGGAAGGTCCCAGGTGCATGAGGTGCCTGGAAATCCACACCAAATCCAGCAAGTCAGCTCAGCCAGGGCCAGCCTCAGGAGGTGCCCTTCCCGGAGGCCCTGCCATTGGGGGGCACTGCTCGCCAGTGTCTCCCAGTGGGCAAGACCTACACAGTTGGGGCTGGGGTCCCTCAGACCCTCCACTCCACATGGGGATACTCCCGGGGGCGGGCTGGGGAGGAGGTGCCTGTCTCCAGCAGAAGGAAGCTGGGAAGTCGCCTGTTCTGAAGGCTTCGAGGCAGAGCCCAAAGTCCACGCCAGGCTGAAAGGGAGCCAAAGGCCTCTGCCCACAGCAGCCCCTTCCGCCGGCCCAGGGCTCCCTCAGGGCTCCGCAGCTGTGGGTGGCTGAGTCTGAAGCGGTCTTCTCCCACCGCTGCCCCAGACTGTTCCCCTGTTGCTCACTGGTTGCCCAGCCCTGAGCCCAGACTCAGAGCTAGGCAAACCAAGAGCCCACCAGGGTCAGAAATACCAAGGCCTCCACCTACCCACCCTGGCTGCCCCCTGCCCAGCCTACCCCTGCCTCCCACCTCAGGGGCAAGCTTGGATCCTGGCAGCCCAGGCCGACTCAGCCCACCCAGTGATGGGGTTGGGGGCGGCCGGGGCATTTTGCGGGAGGGACAAGATGGGTGGGTGGCAGGAAGCCCTGGACCTGGGCCATAGGGAAGGAGGCCCTGGTCCCAGGAGTGGCCTTTGGGCCTAAAGAGCTTTGCTAGGCAGCAGGATGGGGGCAGGACGGGAGGTCTGCTTGGTCCCAGCTCCACATGAATGGGAGCCACGAGCCTAGACAGTAGACTGGCCAAGTAGGGGGACCTGGGGGACACACCACCTGCAGACCTGCATGCAGGCAGCTATGGACGAGGGACTCAGGTGGCCGGCCGTCAGCAGCAGCCGTCAGGTCTGGGGAGACACAGCTCCCAACTCAAGGGAAAAGCCAGAAGTTTAAGTGGAATCACCCTGTTCTGGGGAGTTTTGAAAAATGAGCTTCAGGCTGGGTGTGGTGGCTCATGCCTGTAATCTCAGCACTTTAGGAGGCCAAGGCAGGCAGATCATGAGGTCAGGAGTTCAAGACCACCCTGGCCAACATGGCAAAACCCCATCTCTACTAAAAATACAAGCATTAGCCCGGCGTGGTGGCGTACATCTGTAATGCCACCTACTTGGGAGGCTGAGGCAGGAGAATTGCTTGAACCCAGGAGGTAGAGGTTGCAGTGAGCCAAAATTGTGTCACTGCACTCCAGCCTGGGCAACAGAGCGAGACTATCTCAAAAAAGAAAAAAAGAGCTTCATTGACAGCTAATTTACATACATCCAAATATGCCCACTTTTGAGGTAACTCAGTGAGTTCTGACAAAAGCGTACACCTTTGTAACCACTTGCATCACTCTAAAGGGTTCTTTGGTCAGTCCCCTCCACCCCCACCCCCCCCCCCGGCAGTCACCAGCACCATAGCTTTTTGGGCTCTAGAACCACACAGAAACGGCCACTCCAGCTGCCATCCTCAGTGCCTGGCTATTTGCCATGCAGATTCATTCCCTCCTTGCCCAGAAGCACCCATGTGATGGCAGCCAACAGAAGTGTCTGAGCCACCAAGGCAGGGGAGTGCCCCAGGCCCTGCCTCTTGCTATCTCCTGGGCTGCTCCCCAAACTCCTGCCCTGATCTCAGCGCCACTGGTTTGGAGTCTCAGTTCCCCCACGAGGTGAAAAGCCACAGGGAGCCCCGTGGCCCCCAGGACCAGGAAGGGAGCAGCCACCCTTTACCTAGACTAGGCCGGGGTGCTGCCAGAAGCCCCTTCCCAGCTGCCTTCCAGATGGTGGCTCTGGGTGAACCTCTCAACTGCTCAGCGACTTTCTGTGATGACTGGTCTCTCACTGAGGTCACTGAGGTGACAATGGTCTGGGCCTGGGATGGTTCCTGGTCTCCGTGGTCACTGGAGAACCACTTTCCCTTCCTGAGACCCCCGGGAGCAGGCAGGACACAGTGGCCATGCAGGGGTGACACAAACCAGGCTCCTGGAGGCACCACCTGCGCCCTGGGACCTCCACACTCCCCAGGCTGCACCTGGAGGTCCCGTACCCAGATGCCCTTGGAACTGGGCAGCATCCACAAACTGTGCACCCCCAAGGTCAGATTCAGTGGGGGACACAGGAGCCCAGTTCTGTGAAGGATGCATGCAGGGTCCTCACACACTTCTCACTCAAAAGGGAAAACCCAGAGGCCCCAGTATTATTCCTTCCCCGACCTGTGCACATCTTACCTAAAACCGCCCAGCTGGTTGTGAGGGGCATTCCCCGCACCTGTGGAGCCCTTCCTGAAAGACACTCCAGACGCCCAGCACAGGGCAGGGTGCAGGGCTCGGTCTCTGAAGCTGAAGGCAGATCACTGTAAAATGGCACCTGCCCCTTGGATTATGGGGTCCGACCCGGAGCAGACCAACTAAGGACACGGTGCTGCTCCCCCAGGTACTTCATAGGATGGGGATGGAGGAATGGGTGCAGGAAGCATGGACATCAGGCCTGGCAGCCCTTAGGTGTGTGCTGGAAGTGTGTCCAAGCCTGCACCTCCTTTCCTGCTGCTCCCAGGGAGAAGGCAGCCTATGGGTGAGCTGGAGGCAGCAGGGCCGGGCGAGCCACATGGGGAGCAGGGAGCCCGCTCCACAGCTGCCTTGTTATGACGCCCTGCTGTCCGCCAGGGGGCGCTGCCAGGGCTGGGATTCCCACAGCCAGGTCAGGAAGAGCCAGCGCGGCAGGTGTCTGGGTGGAGGGCCTCCTCTCACTGGGGATGGACGAGACAGCGGGAAAAACCAGCGAGCAGGCAGACCCAACATGGGCTTATCAGTAAGTTCTCCTCTTGGAGCCTTCTGGAGCTACAAGGCATCGTCCCACTAACTCTGAGAAATGAACCCCTCCTGGGGGCAGGAACAAAGACTTTCCCTGGACCCCCAGTGAAGCCATGTGCGTGCAGCAGCAACTCAGGTTGTAGAGGGGTGGCTACAGCGGCCTCTGCCTGAAACGGCGCTTTCAAAGCCTCAGAAACGAACAGTACAGTCGGTCTTGGAGCCACCAAGTCCAGCAGGGTGTGCCGCACACCTGAGCCACTGGAGAGCAGCAGAGGGCGTCCCTCCAACCCCCAGCCCGCTTCCCCCACCACACTCCCCTACAAAGAATCACAGCACAGCGCTGACTCCGGCTTTCACAACTTTAATAGAATACTCTTAACTATTCTGTACAAATTGAAAACACTGCATCGAGTTACAAATGTGTTCTAAGGTTAGGCTGTGCGGACACGGCCATCCCCGGCTGCCGGAGTGCCATCACCCACTGGAAACCCCACCCGCCAGCCACCAACAGGTCACACCGAAGCCAGGACCCTCAAACAGGATGAATGGTGGGGCCCAGCAATGGGGCTCTTGAGAAAGCAGGACTTGACGCTCATATGCTCAACTGAAACACAGGGCTTCCCAGCCCAGCCCCCAGCTGGAGACGACCACCCGATGCTGGCTCCGGCAGCAGGGCGGTGCCTGCGTCACAAGGACACGCTCGAGTCTTCAGTCCTGGTGGCAGGGAGCAACGTTTCTTCCGCACAGGCCTCACTCCTGCTAGGAAGTGGCACGGTACATCTTCCTGCCCAGGTCACCAAGGTGGTTCAGAAATGGTAAGGACGAGTGACAGCAAAAGGCCACAGTCCTCACAGGTAAGAAGGGTTCAATAAATATGAGGTGACTCGCGGCAGCTCTTGCCCGAGCTGGTGTGCCACAACCCTGACCCACCCCTAAAAAAAGAAAGTCAAGAAGCAATGACCTAAGCAGAACACGCCCTACTCTACACAGCCCTTCGGAGATGATTAGCATACACGCGGCAGACTAAGCGGCTGCAAACAGCCAGTGGGTTTCTTCAAATAAAAGGGAAGAATTCAGTCCAACTGCAGGAGTGGTAGGAGAGGTTCTAGATCCCTGGAATCGCATCACCAGACTCGGCCCTTTTTGCCAAGTGACCCCCACCCCACCCCATGTGGTCTATGGAGCCCCCCAGAGGGAAAGGCCCAGGCAAGTCCAGGGCTACAGGCACCAAGGCTGCTGAGGGTGCCGGATGAAACCTCCTATTTCTGAAATGCATTTCAGTTGCCACTGTACAAGTTAAGCAAAATAATAAGGAAAAAGGAAAAGTGAAAGTGAAAATCATGCACTTGAAAACGAGTTAGATGGAGCAAGCGCTGCCGACGGGCTGGTGCAGCGGCGAGGACCGAGGCCCCGCCCACAGGCCTGGCGTCCCCACAGTCTGCCAGGCGCCCGCCTCCGCTTCCTACTGCTGCTTGCACTCCGCCGGCTGGCTGGGTTCCTTCTGTCAACGAAAGAGAAGACAAGGCTTGTAGAGAGCAAAGCCGGCGCCGTTCACCAATTAGCTCCCATCAACAACGAAAACCAAGACTGAATGAGTTCTTTCTCATTGAAACAAATGGTTACTGCAAATATACTTTCAAATAAAAGTGACAGGAACAAAGCTAACTCTATTCCTGCCAAGTCAAAGCAGGGCTGCCTTTCTTGTTTTTAAAGATATGCCCGTGAGGCACTCAAATTCGTGGTGTGTTCAGCGGGAGGGTTTTGAGGCCCCTTAGGGTGGTGGAGCTTCAGGGGGCTGCCCATAAAAGGGCTGGGAAGCAGCCGCCCGCCCCCAAAGCACAGTGTGCTCAGCATGGCAGCTCACCCAGAAAGGCCGCCGCGAGGCCACCCCTCCTGGTGTCAACAGTCCTCATCTCTCAGGTGCACGTGTCAGGGAGGGCTGGACCCTTGGCGCTCAAGGGAAGCAAACCTCTCCTCTAGCGGTTTCCTGCTCTGGACTAGCCGGGAGGGCCCTGGCAGATCCATCCTCCGGTGCACCAACAAATAACGAGCTGCCCCTCCCAAGAGCTGCACCTGTCACTCACCCTCCCAACAGTCTCACCGAGGGGGAATGCTATCCTTCCAGTGACGGCATCCGGGAAGGATGGATCCTTCCAGAGGAATGGATTAAAACTCCAATATTATCTAACACAGATCTCGCACCCCTTAAACCACATCCAGCAACTCCATGAATTTGTGTGGAGGCCAAAAATAGCCTATGAAATACATCACGATCTTGACAATGCTTCTGAGCTAGTAACTTTAGGAATCTGTAACCCATGATTTCTGGCTGAGATTACGAATTGCTCCAGATTTAATCCAGTATGCCTATGGAACCTAAGAACATTCACTGTATGGGGCAAAAAAGGCCCCTGGGTTCACTAACTGTCCTCTTCCACGCTGTAAGCTGAGGCTACAGTTCATTTTTTGGGAAATCCCACTTAAGGGATGACAAAAGAAATGTATAAGGGATGCATAAAACCAGTCAATAACCCTGAACCCTGGTCCAAGCTCCCAATCTCGGCCACCCCACAGGCTGCCCAAGAGCCCAGCCAAGAGGAGGAGGCTGACCAAAAACCCTAGCCAAAAGGATGCCAACTGAGACCTGCCAATCTGAGATTCGAGGGTAAACTGAAACTGGCCCAATGTAGTGGCCAAGGGCACGGAGCCACTGGCTTTAAGAGCGTGGGGGATGCAGGGTGCCCTGGGCAGGTGCACTGAGGGGAGGAGTGGGACACAAGCAGCGTGCCACCACCAAGGGACTGGCCTAGAAAATGGGAGGTCAATAAAGAAGCTGTGTGGGGCCAGGGAGGACTGAGGCTGGTCACAGGATGACAGAGACTCCACCTTTATGGACATTTAAGTTATACAAATACAACGTCATATCATACACAGGATTTTATAATTTATCCTACCACGGATTGAGCATCCCAAATCCCAAATCCGAGATACTCCAAAATTTGGAACTCTGAGTGCCAACAAGACAAAGAAAATGCCCACAGGAGGATTCTGGATTTGGAATGCTCAACCAGAAATAAATATAAATTATCCTAAGTTGTAAATATTGTAATAAGTATTTTCAACCATGAGAATGTAGTTTCTATTTGTCCTAAATAAAACCAATAGCCGGGAATGGTGGCTCATGCCTGTAATCCCAGCACTTTGGGAAGCCGAGGTGGGTGGATCACGAGGTTAGGAGTTCGAGACCAGCCTGACCAACATGGCGAAACCCCATCTCTACTAAAACTATAAAAATTAGCTGGATGTGATGGTGCACGCCTGTACTCCCAGCTACTTGGGGAAGCTGAGGCAGGATAATTGCTTGAACCTGGGAGGCGGAGGCTGCAGTGAGCTGAGATGGCACCACTGCACTCCAGCCTGGGCAACAGAGCAAGACAATGTCTCAAAAAAAATACGAAAAAACAAAACCAAATATCCTGGGTGATGAAGACTGCTAGAGAGAACAGAGTCTGCATAGAACCCAGAGACCCTCAAGACTGGTGTTCTGACCCAGTGCCTTGCCGGAGGGGAGTAGGCTGGGCACCTGGCTGTGGGAAAAGCTGCTTCCCCTGTGCCTGAGGAAGGACAGCACATGGCCCTCCCCTGCCACGCTTTGGTGCTCACACATGCTGGAGCTTCTGCAAGTGAGTGACAGGAGTTTTAGAACTGACTTTTATAAATGAGACACCAGTTGCTTTTTAGCTTGTGACTACACGTCAAAGGATGACTGCAAATCAACTGAAGCATGCTCTATTTCATGTCACAAGAATTTAATGACAGTTTGGTCATTAATCAATGCTGACCTGATTATCAAGGGAGGGAGAGTTGGCATTTTAAAAGGCACCAACTAATGGGAAAAATCTCGTCTCTCATGGAACCATTTAAAAGGTGGGGTTTTCACAGACCTGAGAAAGGCAGCAAAGACATGCCTCTGAACACACTGGCCCACAACAGCTGCACCGGGGAAGCAGCAGCCCCCAGTGCCCAGAGCTCTACGGCTGAAGAGGCCTCAGTGCCGCAGTCCTGGGGGCTGCTGCTGTCACACCCTGCCCTTCTCTTCCAGGGATGCACGCTGAAACAGAGAGGTGGCAGGCAGCGAGGATTCTCTTCACAATAGCTGGTGGCGTGGGAGGAGTGGGTGGGGGTACAGGTGAAGTAAGAGTGGCTAAGCTCTTCAGACATTCGGGGACAACAGGACTCATGGTAGCTAGACACAATTTTAAACATGCAGGCAAATTCTCAAACCTGGCCCTGGAAAACAAAATCGCTCCACGAGCTGCACGTGCCCTACGTCCTCTCGTAAGCTTCCCATGGAAGCAGCCTACACGAGGAAGGCAGAAGGCGGTGGTGCTCAGACCTCAAGGACACCTGGTCTATGGGACTGCCAGGGTTGTGCTGCCGCTCTGTGACAAGACCTTTAAAAACGGAGTGCCTACTTACCCCAGCATGCAGAGGCCCTGCCACGGCTGTGAGGTTTCTCAGGCACCTCTTGTTCCCACCTCTCTGCTTTCTCCCACTACCTCCCAAGAGTGCCACGAGAGAACGGGTCTTGTCACAGGCAAGAGCCTCTGTCCACTTATGGGCCTGCTGTCAGCCATTCCAGGACAGGGCAGAGCTACAGGGACTGAAGAAAGTGGGGATGGGAGCAGTTCCCAGGCTCACTGACGCTCACTTTCATCTACAACTGGTTCTGGCCTCATTCAGTTAGAGCACTCTGCACCAACCTCACAACAGTACCTTCTGCTGCTGACATCCAAACAGATGCCAGTTCACGTTTTAGATAAAAAATGCTGGCACAGTAACAGCTCAGTCACCCCTTTGTGTACCTATTGGTCTGCACAAGACATGAATTCAAAAAGTATAAATATTCAACAGACACGTGTTGGTAATGACAGTGGGCCTATTTCAACTGCCACAAGGTGTGTTCTGAGCACAGCTCGGACGCCAACCGTGTTACGCTCTCTGCAAAGACTGTTTGCTTATGGTGGTCTATGCATGTCACCCTGCAGGCTGCTGACCATCCAGGCCCCTCTTGCTGGAAAGCAGTACCATCAGCAATGAAAATACCACCCAAGTTACATCTTTGTTACTTAGCAAGAAATACTGGGCTCAGAAAGCGGGGACCAAATCTAGGTCTGGGTTGTTGATTTTAGAAGTACATGTAACACACACTTGTAGAAAACACTGTGCTTTCTAACGCCCTATGTCACACCTATGCCGCAGGGAGTGTGCCTGGACAGCAGCTTCCTCTTTATTCAAAGTCAAAACAATGCATTGCATAAAGTATAGGTCAGAAGTTTGGAAGTTAGGTATGAATGGAATTCCACCTTACCTAGAAACGTATGAATGATTAACAGACAAAAATTACACCTAAATGGGGAAAAAAATTGAAAGGAACGGTCAGCATGAAAGAAAATGAAATGCACAAAATTATACAGGAGGAAATGGCCACAATTTCTCATGATACAAAAGGGCTGTGAGCTGCTGCACTCGGGGTGAGCAGCATCCACACCAGGTCACACCTTCAGAAACACGCAGAAGCATGACTTTCGCTTCTATCAGATGCTCGATACAGAAACCTTCCTTCCTGCCTTGCTTTCGTTTGCCTGTGTAGCCTCTAACACCGCCAATCTCTCTGGAGAGGTGCATGCGACAGGGACAGCAGGCGGGGCCTTACCAGGCCACACATGCCTGGCAGTCTCTGAACTTCACACCATTAGCCTCAACATGTTTTTAGTCCTTTCTAAAAAAAATCTGTCAAAGGCCTCCTGGGTGTTAGTATGTGTAATCCACCGCTGTGTGGTCTCTATAATGGCTGGTGAGAATGCTCCTGTAGAAACCTGGGACGTGAAAGGAGACTGAAGGTTGTCCAAGGTGACAGAACAAACAGGGGGCAGGAAAAGAGAAGTCAAGGCACAGAATACAAGGAGAGGGAGAGACAAGGGCAACAAGCAAGGACAGCGGCAGCTGTGCGCGGAGTCTGAGGCGGTGGCCCTGCCAACTGTCCCCATTCCTTGCTTTACAACTGCAACCTTGAAACATGGCCCAGTAAGCACACGCGGCACTTGGGGCCAGCAGACACCTGCGAAGCAGTGATGGGCAGCATTTATTCACCCAGAGCTGCTCACTGGCCGGCTGATAGCCCTCATCTTCTCTGTCCCCACACTGCAATCCACGCAAGGCAGACCCAGGCCTTGGTCTCTGCCGCCCTCGCCGCCCACCAGCATGGTGCTGAGCACAAGCATACTTTCAGCACAGAGTCCTCTCACATCAACAGGCCAACCTTTAGAAGATGAACATTTCCATGAGCATATTCCCAGAACAGCATTTATAAGGCACATTTTTAAAAAGTTTTAAAGACTCTTCTCCCATCCCTTTCCCTCAAGGAACCACTACTGTGAACATGCATTCATGGAAATACCGGGTTTTAACCAACTGAAGACAGAACCAGGTTATCACACCAACAGCATTTAGTGCACACTCCAAAAAACAAAGGTAAAAACAAGCAGAAAACATCTAGTCGGACAGAGACACACTACAAAAACACCAGGTAACGTTAGTATTCCATCAGTCCATAATATACTTAAAGAGGCAGGTGAACTACACATTTCATGTTTTACAAGAGTAAACTCTTATGACAGCTTCAGGATAACATTAAAACAGTTCTGACTCTAAGATGTGTCAAATGGTCAAAGCACCCTGATTTAAGTTACTCTGAGGCCACAAATAAAGATCTAAATTTGCAGGTAAAATTAATGGGCTTGCCTACTCATTTTAAACGCAGTTTTCTTTAGTAAATCTTCCAAATTAGTCTTAAGTTGTCTGAGACAGATGAGCTACCTAAACATACCACCTGGGCACGTGCGGCCCAGGTGGGACCGTACAATGACACCCACAATCCCACTTCTGTTTCTGAACAAAAACAGCCCCAAGGTCCCTTCTCTGCACCATTTCCAAACAGGCACAAATAAAAGTTTATTTATGTTGTCAGCTAAATCATCACCTTACCTTAAAAGAATGAAACATCTGGGAAATAAAAGTTGCTCTACTGAAAGAGTCTGTGTAAATAAGACACAGCTTGAGACAGCTGGAAAAGCTTTCACTGAATACGTACACTCGACACTCAATTTTACACTCAGTATCTGAATAATCATTCCAGTATTTTTCTGACACATTTTAAACTTTCTAATTAAGGAATAATGAATACTGTTAACACTACTGCCTCAAAGTGGGGAACATTTTAAAAAATCTAACCGTGCAGCATAATGAGGAGGTCTGGGTGGCCCCAAAGTTACCAACCTTGGGGTTAATTTCCACATCATCCTCATCTTCTCCCTCCTCGTCACCTTCTAACTCCTGTATTAAAAAAGTGAGAATTAGCTGGAAAGACATTTAAATTCTTGTGGCATTCACTATCCACAAACACAGGAGGGCAATGCGCTGCCTTAGAAGGAAATCAATTACCGCTACCTAGAAGCGACTCACCACTTCCTCTGGACGCTTACAATTATTTCTAGGTATCTTTTTGTTCTCACAGATAACCCTAAAAGAAACACATTTCTGAAAACGTAGATTTTGCTTGTTAAATGATGATTTTCTAAGATACACTTTCTGCAGGGTCAAATACTCTGGAAACTGTCCCAGCATTTGCTATGCATTTCTGCTTAGTGTTTCAACAACACTGCTAGAGTCAAAGGCAGCTTCACCAAAACCGCGTGTAACACAGCCCCGTGCGTCACAATCTTCAAGCAGAGAAAGCCAAAGAAACGACATCAGGGAAGTAAGTAAAGCTGCATAAACCTGCTTCTTACCTCCTCTTCTCCTTCTTCACCTTCTTCAAACTGGAAAAACAGAGAAAAACATTTTTAGGTTTACAAAACATGATAGCAGCCTGCCGGAGACACCAGTCCCATCGAGTGACTGATCCAGCCTAAGAGCAGAAAGTCCAGCCACGCTGCCTGCTGGGCCTCGCCTGGCTGAGGAGCCATTTGCTTGTGAGCACTGCATTTTAAAAGCATGCCAGGAGACTGAAAGTCACGCAAAGCAAGGGACAGGATAGGAAGCTGGTCAGCCAGGGTGTGCACTGGGCACAGCTGGGAACCTGGCACCACAGCTCTGCCCTGGCTGTTCTCACACTGAAGGGCAGGCACAGGAAAAGATTTTTGTAAACTGTTCAATCTGCTTTCTTTAGATTTTTTACAAGGCTGATCTAACCAGGAGCATAGTGTTACTGGATACAGGTATTTGGATTATCATTTTACATCTCACACAAGATGAAAAGAAACCTTAGTAGAAATCTATTAAAACTTGGGCGTTTTTTTTAAATAAGTAAAAACCAAGGTACTCAAAGGCGAACCTCCACCATTAGTCAATTGTCTTGAATCAGTTTCTCCTACATCCAAAGACATCACTGGACTGAAAATCAAGTTTCAAACATGAGACTTACACCACAAGCAAAACCATCTTATCATTACTGGTTGCATCACCGGGGCAGTACAGGAAAATGCAGTTTCATTTCTCCACATTTCCCTTTTGTTGAGCCATACCACGTACTCCTCTGAGCCAACTTCAGTGGAACTCAGAATGATCCTACTGCGGCGGCGTGGCCCAGCCTGAAACAAGAGTTCACTCAGCCTGCACCACGTGGCAGCCGGGATGAGATCTGACCATAGCACTGCACCCTTTCACTATAAGGATCCTAACCGGCCTCAGGCAGGGAAAGATTTAACAGTCTTCCGTTTCAGGTGGTGCTCCAGTGCCTATCCTGAGGCTCTGAGTCCAGCGATTCACCCTTGAGGTGCTGTGCCCACAGGCTCCTTCAGATGCATCTCCTGCCTGGGCAGAGCAGAAGCTGCCATGTACAGGGAGACAAGACCAGGGCTCCCACACTCACTTCCTCCTTCAACAACTTTCTAGTGTTGGGGTGCGGTCTGGAGCGTACCATCATCAAACACTTTTTATGCCAATACTTACTGAATCACTGCGCCGTGCCAGGCGCTATGTGAAGGGCTTACCCAGTAACCAGAGTCTTTCCCATGAGCTCTACTTACAGCCGAGGAAACTGAAGCAAAAAGAGGCGGTGGAGCTACTAAGAGGGAGAATGGTGATGCAAGTCTAAGCCGTCTAATCTGAGCTGACACTCCAGCCTCTAAATGACTGCTCATCAGTAGTACCTATGCTGAACGTACCATGAACGAACACGTATACATTTACCACAAGCCACAGTGCTCACCAGCAGTACAGACACTGCACAGAAGTAAGCAAACAGCACACATGCACATTCAGATCTTTTAAATTGACGGTGTATGATCAAAAATGTATGAGATAAGCTTTCCAATGTGTAGCCACTAGCCCTTGGCTCACTATTTCAACCTAATTTAAATGGAATGTTCAGTTCCTCAGTCACAGCAGCCATATTTCAAGTACTCAAGTGGCATACACGGTCAGTCCAACTGCACTGGACCAAAGAGCCAGAGAACAGTTCCATCAAGAGAAGGTTCTACCGGAGAAAGTACCGGTCTAGAATCCATACAACTAAGTCGTGGCAGCTGCTTGAGTGTCCATGTTCTCTGACCTACAATCACCTCCCAGCCTAGGGATGAACAAGCAAGTTGTGTTTCACAAGTTTCACACTGGCCTCTTCTCCCCACGGGTGGAACTCAATACAATGGGAGAAGTGTGAGGAGATGCTGGTGTTTACTGCCACAGGGGGCTAAGGCCCCTGAACACGCCTAAGCTCCTGCTGCCCTGTCTGAAGCCCCGACAGACCAGACCTTCTAAGAAAAGAAACCTAGCACAGCCACAAAACCTAAGAGCTCTACAAGCAACAGAATATCATCTAGAACATACCTCCAGTAACATTCTATAAAACAAAACTTTATTTTCCACAGATCAAGACGACTCCAAGCTACCTGAGCCTTGGCAAGGAGCTTCTAAGCGGTGCTTCGGCTGTGCGCCCACAAGTTCTGACCGTGGAAATGCTGGCTTCCCTCAAGCCCAGAAAGGAAAGTGACATGCAATCTTGTTGTTTGCTTGGAGAATATGGTTTTTTTTTTTTTTTTTTTCCTTTTTACCTAATCAGATAAAGTTCAGGAATTTCTATTTCTTTGGGGTTGATGAGCCATAGGGTGGCATGAGTCCACTGTCAGTAAATGTTTGCAGTGGCAAGACCTCCATGAAAGAGATTTTTCTCATGTTTAGAAGTTCCCTGAAGCTTAGGTTTTTAGAGAACGCTGTGAGTCACTGGCAATCAACTCTGAGACTGCCTCACTTTTCCTGCTGTGTTCCTCAGACTTCTCCTCTTCCAAGTATATGTCCCCCACAACAAGGAGAGCAGCTTGGACTACATATCTGGCTGATGATGTAATAAAAAAATTAGGCACAGGGGTTTCCCAAGCCACAGTTCAGGGCCACACTGCACCAACAGAGGTAAACACCCAGGTGGTAGCTCCCCCCTTCCCCAGCCTCATACATTGTCGTCATCCTCTATGGCCTCCCCAGTGAAGTACAGCACGGCCCGTGGGACTATCCGCTCACGGAAAAAGTGTCCAATTTCAAAATCAGAGGCCAATGTGAATTCAGAATCTTCATCCTAAAGAGAGAAAGCCTACATGTTAACTCATTTAATGGGATAAAAACATTTGCTTCACCACTCTCAGCCAAACCTCAGCCCCTCACTTTTGATTTACTTGACTTAAAACACCAAATTCCTGCACTGCTAGGGGACAGTCACTAGACACTCAAAGTCCCTTTAAAACGACTTTAAGGGCAGTCACAGTGGCTCACGCCTGTAATTCCAGCACTTTGGGAGGCCGAGGTGGGTGGATCACCTGAGGCAAGGAGTTCAAGACCAGCCTGGCCAACACGGTGAAAGGCCATCTCTACTATAAATACAAAAAATGAGCCAGGCGTGGTGGCACATGCCTGTAATCCCAGCTACTTGGGAGGCTGAGGCAGAAGAATTGCTTGAACCCAGTAGGCGGAGGTTGTAGTGAACCAAGATCATGCCACTGCACTCCTGCCTCAGTGACAGAGCAAGACTCCATCTCCCCAAAAAAAAAAAAAAAAAAGCAAACAAACAAAAAAACGACTTTGAAGCAAAACTGGCAGAGAAAGTAGGAAGCTCCTCTACTTGTCCAAGGGTCTCGGCCAGAGTAGGCAGTGTCAGAGCCTCACACGCAGGGAACAGGCAGTATTCAAGGACTACACTTTTGCTACTACCAGCAACATATGAAACACATACTTTTACCCAGATGTGTAATGATTTCAAATTAATCCCAGCGTTTTAAGAAACAGGAAGGGATTTTTTTATTTTTAAGAGACAGGGCATCACTCTATCACACAGGTTGGAGAGCAGTGATGCAATCACAGCTCACTACAGCCTCAAACTCCTGGGCCCCAGCGATCCTGGAACTACACAGTGCATCACCATGCCTAGCTAACTTATTTTTTTATCTTTTGAGACAGGAGTCCTGCTGTCACCTAGTGGAGAGCAGTGGTGTGATTTCAGCTCACTGCAACCTCCTCCTCCTGGGTTCAAGAGATTCTCCTGCCTTAGTCTCCCGAGTAGCTGGGACTACAGGCACCCATCACCATGTCCTTTTTTTTTTTTTTTTTTTGTATTTTAAGTAGAGGCAGGGTTTCACCACGTTGGCCAGACTGTTCTCAAACTCCTGACCTCAGGTGATCCATCAGCCTCGGCCTCCCAAAAGTGCTGGGATTACAGGCATGAGCCACCAAATTTGGCCAGCTAATTTTTCGTAAAGATGGGGTTTTGGTATGTTGCTCAAGCTGGTCTCAAATTCCTGGACTCATCCAATCCTCCCACCTCAGCCTCCCAAAGCATTAAAATTACAGGCATACTGATTCCATACTCAGCCAGAACTGGACATTTTCAAACAAGTAGACATTCACTCAGCAAAGTCTTTAATACAAAAATAAGACTATTAACAACATAAATCTTACCAGTGATTCTCCATCCCCAGATGCTAGAAAAAGAAAAGACAAAACATATTCAAGTTACAGTGACAACTCCTTAGAATTTTAAAGCCCACACAGGAGGAAGCTTTGCTGGTAGACAAAATGTAACATTTCTTACCTTGAGGTTTAAACTAGAAATTCCCAAAGCCTTGCATCCTTAAAGACATTTTGCAAGCTCCATGCACCACTTGTGAAGCTGGTCCGAGTGCCTCTAGCCCCCCTCCCTTCTCCTCCTCCATCATGTGCCATGGGCTGGCACTCAAGCTTGAGAAGACCATTTTGAGAGGGTTAATGTATTAACATGAGGAAAGGCAAACAGCCCCAGGCTGTGGCCATTCAGGTTATTTGTGCTTTATGGGGCAATTTAACTCATGCTCTGCAGAACTATACATGATGGTGCAGAAGAGAAAGTCCTTATGCCTTATAAGCTGTGAGTGTTACTAAGGCACTGCATCTCAGAGAGGAGGAAATTACACTTCCTTTGGAGGCTGCTGAAACGTCCACCAGTGCCCCCTGGAGAGTGGCGCAGCTCCTCACCGAAAGCTGATGCTTGGATGAGCTAAGCACACCAAGACAGACAGGTTCTAACCACAATGAAGCTGTGCAACGTTCAAGTGGCATATGACCCAAACCCCTGATTTTAGAAACATTTCCTACAAGACCCGGCCCTTCATCAGGAGCTGAGTGTTTACTCTTGCTGAGCCTCAAGAATACCTGCCTGTTCAATCTTCACTGGCTCTTCTGAGTCTCTCTTCCCATTAAGCCACCACAACTGTGGCAGCACTTTCTGCTCACTGCTGAGACAGAAGCGTTGGGTGCATGAACACCACCCATGAGCAAGGCAGGGTTCCCAAGCCTCCGTGTGCCAGCGCCACCCAGGGGTTTAAGGCATGGGTTGGAGCAAGGCTAGGTGTCTAAACGCTGGAGCAGCAGGCTCCCCCAGGGCTCTCTGGCCCACGCCATGAATCGGCATGAGGATTCTCGGCACTCAGACTTCTGGACTGGCTCTGCAGCCTCAACGACTAAGGCGGCGCTGGACTCACTACTGCGTCCTTCACTTCACACCACGGGAGTCCGTTTTGTTTGTTCCTTCACTACCCTATTACCTACCCCCTAGCCATCCTCAATTTTTTTCATAGCACTTATCATATTTGATATTAAGTTATCCGTTTGATTAGTTTAAAAGTGGCTTTATTGATGAGATTTATATACCATAAAAGGCATATACTTTAAATGTACAACTTTATGACTTTCAGTGCATTAATTCATTAATTTTAGAGTTGTGCAACCATCATACCATGAAAGTTTTAGAACCTAAAAAAAAACACCACACTTAAAAATTCCCTTGAGTCCACTATCAACTCTTTTTATTCTAAAAATTATTTTTATATCAGTTTTAAGAAAAGTGCCTACACAAAGTCAGTGATTCCAGAAATTAAAGCCCCTTGGCTTCATGGTGGATTCACAGATTATCTCCAGAACGCCCAACCCAAGTGTCTAAAAGGAATCTCCCCAAAAACGGAAATGTAATATCTAAACTTATGACTGCTCTTATTCCCCAAACCATATATACTTGCATCTTCTAGGTTCAAGGTCTGATTGCAGAAAATAGGCACCACAATTAAAACAGCAGACTAAACTCTGAAAGGTAGCTTGATAAATGAGGGTGCTAAGCTCACAGACAAAACCAAAAAAATCAAACATTCAGATTGGAAGAGAGCCGCTCTGTGGCCCCACATACAAAAAAATGCTCACTGATTATCTGCAGCAGGGGCTGGCATCTCTTCACTTCATGTTTTTGTTCATGGGAACTAAAGAGAATAAGAGTATTTTAACACTGACAAGGAGCTTGACCTTCACATTCTCTCACGATTAGGAAATCATATGAAAAATCCCAAGAAATTTACTCTTAAAATCAATTGGTCAACTTTTACTAGCTTAACGGTTTCATCTTTACCACTTAGGAAAATTAAAAAAAAAAAAAAAAAAAAAAAAAAGAGCTTCCAAGCTGTGATTCTGCCAATGTTTTTCAAAAACGAAAATCCCAACTACTTGTTTATCACAACACATGAATTCCAAAAACTTCTATCAAATGATGCATGAACAAAAGTACAAGAAAAGGGGAACTGAGCAGATGACCCAAAAGCAGCGTAACTAGAACCAGGGCACAGCAGTCACGGGTCCCTGGAGAGCAAACCCAGCAGCTCTCCACCAAGGCTGGGAGCAGTACCTGGTGGCACAACAGAGGGGCAGAAATGCCAGCTGGTGAAGGGTGTTCCAGGTGTCCCGGTGAGGAAACACTCCTTTCAGTGTTCTTAAGACAAACCTGCAAGTTTTTGCCCGGGCCGTAGCCAAGCAGAGTAAAGCTCTTCCCTTTTCTGCAGAAGATGACAACCCTACCCTTACTGTCCCTAACTACCTCCGAACCCGGCATAAACTTGCCAGTGCGCCAACAGAACAGCCTGGGACACAGCAAATGTGCCCCTACTGACCACAACTGCCTGAAAGAACAGAACTGAAGTCTCCAAGTGTTAGGAATCTACCAGGTGACGAAAATTATGTTATACGAGTACAAAATGAATATTAACAACCCATCAGACTTGCCTTTCAGTGGACTGAAGAAGTTGAAAAATGACTCGTTGGGTACTTGTTTCGTAATTGTTCTAACAGTGCCTCGGCCCTTATGCTTCTGCTTTTTCTTGATGGTTTTGACAGTAACATTCTTTCCTTTCTTCCAGTCAATAGTACACCTACCAGGACAAGACAGCTGTCATGAGCACACACTCCATGAGAAAAATCCATTACAAATGCAGGCAGGAAGCAAACCACGGCTCTATGCCAAACCAACAACACCACATAAAACCAATCTGCAAACCAAATGCAGTGGCCCATGAAGTTCACTTGGAGGCTGGCAAAAGAGAAATGGCCTGGTCCTCTTGCAACCTGGGTGTGACCACTGCCTCAAACTTCAGACTTCTGGAACAATGGTATCATTTTCCCAAGACATTTCATCAAGACTCTGAAATGTGTATTCTGTGGCAAAGCCCCGTCAAGTCTGCAAGATACACAAGCGCTTGTCCGCGGCTTCCCAAGCAAGCAGGAGTTGCTGCTGTTCAAGGCAGCCAAGTGAGCGGGACAAGCTGAAAAACGGAAACAGGTGGCCCGGCCCGCTCTTCTCCAGCAAGGCCAGTGAGGACCACAGTAGCCCTGGGTATGTCAGCTGAGGGCTGAGCATCGCATGCACTCTAATGCTCAATGACCGTGGACCCAGGAAACGCCTGGCAGCACCTGAGTACTGCCTGCTTAAGAACACGCTTGGAAAGACCAAGCCTGTTTCTCACATGATGGCCTGGCCCTGAAAAACAGTCTTTCTCAATTACTACAGAAGGACTTTTAATAAAGTCCTGAATTAACAATTAGTACTTGGTTCTGGTAAAGAAGGCTAATTGTTTCAAGTCAAGACCAAAACCATTTCTCAATCAAACCAACCTCCAGAAATTAATTCTAAACCAATTTCTCTCTGCAGTCATCTACAAAGACTGAAATCAGTATGAGTCAAACGAGAGCAATGCTGCCCCCACCTATTTCCAAAGCAATTAACTGATCAATACAGCCCTAGAATGAGGCTCATTCATTCAACAAGTATCTATTTGCTGAGGGTAATCCATCAGTTCAATTTTAAGAACTTCAATTCATGGTATCTAGACAACCTAACACTTTCATTAAAAAGAAGAAAGCAGGCACTGTCCCAAAGGCCTGCATCTGCAACCATGTGACACACTTCCAGGCTCAGCCATCAACTCCAAGCTCTGCACTACAAGCAATCCCAAACTGAAAGACAATTGAAGTATCTGTCTACAAGGCTTTCAAGCAGATTCAAGACTGCACTTAAATCCTTATTTCTATCTTAACCATAAAATTATATAATTATCTCTTGATTTTGTTTCAGAAAAACAAGGTAGAATGACATTTTCTTACCCATCACAGTCCACGATCTCCGGACCTTCAAAGGAAAAGGGGTCAGCCTTATCTGGTTCTGATTTCATCTTGTAGGTTTTCGTCAGGACTGAGTTGGTGAAGTAGTCGTTGGGTTCAAAGTGGAACTCTAACACAAAAGACTAAAAACAGAAACTCAGAGTAAGCACTAGTTAAAATCGAAAAATAACGAGGACAGAATGCTTAGAGCACACAATACTTACTAGAAGCTATCCTGGAAAAGCTCAACAGATAAGACCATGGAACAAGTAAAACTACTCCATTGCAAAAAAGATCAGGACGAAGTTAAAGTAACAAATGATGGACTGAAGGGAATTATTCGTTCAGTTCACGAGTAAAGGCAGGTCTCCCTCCAACACCTCCCCACCAACGGGGGTCAAGCTCTCCTAAGGAACCCTAGCTTCTCTCAGCTGCTCCCAGTCCTTGCTTCCTGGAAGGAGGGAAGGTGACTAGGGGAAGGTGGGGGCACCAGCAGCCCATCCCCTCCTCTCCTTTTCCATTCAGCCCCAGCCCCAGCCCCCACTCTACCGGGGGAAGCGCCAGGGTCTATACTCCGTGCTGTGCAGTAAAAGTGGTGACCCCACAGCGTTTCTCCCAGGAGGTGGGTGGGAGGAAAGGACACATCTCTACAAGGACGGAAAGCTCATCCTTCACTTACAAAGCATACTACAGACCTGGAGGAGAGGTGAGCACACCGGGAAAAGGATGCAAACATGAACACAGACACAGACAAAATCCAACAGCCAACAGCAGCAGCAAGACATTCATGCTCACAGGTAACACACACGAACACCAAAATGAGATGCCTTTCTTTGAGGCAAAATGTACAAAAATATGTAGCCCCAGCCAGGATTTTAGGGTACTGGGTACACTCATATGCTGTCAACAGATTTATGAAGGATAATTTGATAATATCAAAAAAATAAAATAAAAGGCATATTCCCTGACTCAGGAATTCTATTTTGAGGAATTTGTTCTACTTAATGAAAACACCTGGATGGATGCATGGATATGTGCCATGACATTTACCTCATCCCTATTTATAAAAGAAAAACATGGAAGATGAGCTTGGTTGAGTAATTTATAGACAGTTTACAAGACCAATTCTGCACTCAGACAGCCTGGGTTTAAATCCCATCTCCGCCTATAGTGCTGGGCAATTTGTGGCAGCTACTCAGAGTCTCCGTGCTCTAGTTTCCTTATCTGTACACTAGAGATGACACTCTCTCTGAGTTCATGGTTAATCTGTATCACTTAGAACAGAGCCAGGTTTATAGGCAAGGCTGGCTAAATGGTAGCTGTTTCTACTTTTCATTGTAATGGTAAGACCATCAATGGAGGAAAAATTAAGATGACTAATAAAAAAAAAATATATATATATATACATATATATAGCAAAATTTCCACACACACACACACACACAGAGGTATATACATTCAAACAAAACACTTCCACAAAGGAGAAGTGAAAAAATAACTCCCAAAGAAAGGCAGAGGAGGAGAGGGAGCATGAGGCTTAGGAAGTCAGAATCAGGGAGAACTCTAGTCGGTTTCTGGAGGGATGGCAGCAGGATCTGGCTAGGAGCTCTCCACTGGCCTGGGCAAGAGCAAAGTGGGTCAGGCACTGCAGATGAACCACACAAAACAAAGCAAAGGCCAGTCACTTGCCTGGCAAAAATCACAAGGAAAGGAAGGCAGCTACAAGGAATCAGCATCAAAGAAGATACCTATTTCTCCCAACCCTCCAGGGCTTAAAAACAAAAAAAAACTAACGAAGAGGGAAGGCAAGCAGCCAACCAAGGGAGAGACTGCTACGATTCCAGAACTGCTCAAGGCTGTGACCACAGTGTGGACAACCAACCCAGGGCACAGGGTGACCCCATAAAACAAACGATACTACCATACTTGCGGTCCTCCGCCATGCCCAACTGTTTTTTCCCCCTCCCTTTTCTTCTCTCTTTTAAAGACCAGGTCTCCCTACGTTTCCCAGGCTGGTCTCAAACTCCCAGGCTTAAGCAAACCTCCCACCTCAGCCTCCTGAAGCGCTGAATTATAGGTATGAGCTACCACTCCCAACCTACTTTCCTATAGATTCATATTTCTTCCCTATTTCCCTTTTTTCCTCTCCCCTCTGCCTTTGTTTACTCAATAATAACCCAAACACAACTGAAGATGATTCAACTGTTTAACTGCCCAACTGAAAAGTGGCTTGAAGGTAAGAATGCTCCACTCACACACACTACATACAGCCAGGCAAGCCATAAATATGGCAATCATGCTCACTCTTACTGGCAGGGCCTGCGTGGCTCATGCCTTTAATCCCAAGTGAACAACCTTTCAGCCTTCTAAAGCTTCATCTTCTTTGACTCAGTAATTACAATGAAAGGAATCTAAACTAAGGAAATTATCAAACATTTCAACACGGCTGGGTGCGGTGGCTCACACCTATAATCCTAGCGCTTTGGGAGGCCAAGGCAGGTGATCATCTGAGGCAAGGAGTTCAAGACCAGCCTGGCCAACATGGCGAAACCCCATCTCTACTTAAAATACAAAATTAGTTGGGCGTGGTGATGGACACCTGCAATCCCAGCTACTTGGGAGGCTGAGACAGGAGAATTGCTTGAACTCGGGAGGCAGAGGTTGCAGCCAAGATCGTGCCACTGCACTCCAGTCTGGGCAACAAGAGTGAAACTTGTCTCAAAACAAAACAAAACAAAACAAAACATTTCCACACAAATTTGGGTCAAGTATGCTGATCGTAATGCAACAATTTACAATGGGGGAGGGGGCACACACAAGGGAATGTTAAACCATTTTCTATCCAACGGCTGCAGTAACAGCCATTCCCCCAGCCAAGCCCGCGCCACGGGGCAGCAGGTGACACTGTGCACACACCATGTGGCGTGGCAGAAGCCATGTGGCACACGCATGCACTGTGTGTCCAGGTGGGCAAGCACTCAAGGGAAGGGCATGAGGCACGGTCAGGAGCTGCAAAAACATCAGCCAAAATTCACTTTGAAGTCTCATTTCTCTTCATAACTTAAAATGCCTTAGATGCTTCATCATAATTTTACAGAGGAAAAAGCGTATGGGGAAATTCAGGAAGCTGCTCAGATTTACTTTCAGAAAACAGATTTGTACAGCATTCTTTACACTTGCCTGTCTTTTCTAAATTTTCTAGAATAGGCACATATGACTTTTCTAATAGGGTAGTCCCCAGTCTACCACAACTAGAGCTCTAGTCCAGAGTCACCAAGAGATGGAGAAAATAAGATGACAGGCCGAGAAGGAAAACTGACCTCGGAAATCATCAAACAGGTGTCCAATAAAAGAAAGGGAAAAAAAGGAACTGACCCAAAGGGGAAAAAAAGTTAATTGAGTCTAGATGAATCACAGGTAAGAAGAACAAGGAAAAAACACAGAACCTTAGAGCACCATACATACACCACACCCAATGAGGGCCAACTAGGCAGAAGTGCCCAGGCAGCTCCGAGGGGCACTGTGATCAAGTCTTAACAGAAGTGATGCAAGCCCAGGAAGAAGGACCTGCTATAACCCACATGGATAAGGGAAGATGGGGTGTCCCCTCTGGAGGGAGCCCCCAGCTGGTGAGCAGGGATCACTCCTGGCTCCCAGTGCCCCCCAGAGATGGACACCTGAATGTCACCTTCCACAGTGGAAAACAGACAGGAAAAAGTAGAAGGGACAGATACAGATACATCCACCACCCACCCCTGCCACTGCCCCAGGCACTACCTGCAGCACTTGCAATAAAGAAAGCCCACTCATGCTGGTCCTCATCCACTAGCCTGGGCCCCAGTGCTGAGACGGGAAGGAGGGAAGAGACTGCTGACTGGTCCCAGGTCCCCAATGCCACCCACCCCCAAGATCCCTAACCCATGGCCCCTCATGCAGCATTTGTCTCCAAGACCTGAAACTGAAAGCCACCAGTCAGTCAGTCATGTGCCGCTGGAAATGCTATTGCACTGGAATGGAACCCGTGAGCTACAGCCAGGCTGACAGGTTACGAACAGTGCTGCCTGGAAGAACCAGGCTAGGGTGAGACAGCCCAGCGAGGCTATCTGAAGCTAAGCATATGTTTCCTCAGATAAAATAAGGGCTGATATAGTGAAGCTTGTCTTAACAACTGGCAGGCCGATTCATGCCACTAACATTACTAGTGCAATGACAAACCATAGCGAGCATTTTGTAAAGATGTGTTTCAGGACAAATCAAAGACCAGAAAGAAAAACATTTTTCAGTCCTATCTGCACTTTTTTAAAAGGGTAAAACCCAGTAGGTTCGGATTTCTGAGTAAGTGCTGATCATATGTGTACATACCTCCCATCCCTTTAAACTTTAAAAATATGCATTAGACGCATGCAAACTTGAAAGACACTTGGGAAGAGAATGGTATCATCTCCACCCAACAGGGTAAACAAACTACAAGACCAGGGCCTGGCACGGTGGACACCCCCACAGACTAGGAGCTGCAAGCTGACTCCTGTGTTAGTGCCCATCTGGCTCTGGGGCATCACATGGTCTCAATCACCGCCAAATCATCCGGCACAGACTCACGACTACAGTGCCAAGCGGGACACAGAAAGGCAACGGGATCCCCATCTAACTCTCAGGGAGCAGACAGGCAATGCGGTACTGAGTAACTCCTGATGCCAATCAGAAGGTCAAGTCAGTACTCACCATAGGCTGTCCAGGGTCAGAAAACTTCACTTTAATATCCTGAAGGTGTTTCAAGATTGGTTCATCATATTCCTAATCAAAAAGAGAAAAACATTTCCAATAGGACTTTAAAACACAACACATCTCTCCCCAAGAGTCATGGTTGTACAGGCTCCCAGATGTTGCATCATCGGCCCTATTCGAATTCTGCCCTTGTCAAGTGATAAGTACCAGGAAGGAACCCAAACTTATTCACCAACTCCCTGTCACAGAGAAGCAGCACCAAGGTGCCCACTTTCCCTGGCGTGGGGCAATGGTGGCTATCACTGCTAGCGAAGGGCAGTGCCACTGAGACTGCCTGACTGCAATACCGGGGCAAGGGCTTCACTGCTTTCCTGCCAGCAGCTGCCACAGCACACAGAGATCAGCAAAGCTACCAAGCAAGACTGCTGGTCTGCAGCCTCTCTGAGGAGGCAGAGCAGAAGCCTGGAAGTCAGAAGAGAAGGTTAGATCAGCTACAGCCTTGGCAGCCAGCTTCCCCACCTGTGGCAATAAAGTTGTGGATGGCTTAACAATGGGGGCATCTCCTGAGAAACACTGCTAGGCAATTTGTGTGCCATCATCATTTACACACAGATAGACGGTGCAGCCTACTATACACTATTGCTCCTAGGCAACAAACATGCACAGCATGTGACTGGACTCAATACTGGAAGCAGCTGGTAACACGGAGAAGGCACAATAAGAATAAGGTATCATAATCTTACAGGATCACTGGCCTACACATAGTCTGTTGTTGGCCAAAATGTGTTACGTGGCTCATGATTGCATCCAAAACTCACGACACACAGGTCACTTCAAGAACACTTACACAAAGTGTGTCTGATCTCTAACTTGCAGGCACCAGAAGAGTGTGCAAATTCTTATCTGTGGCTGTATCATCTGACAAGCGGTATTTCTTTAAACTCAGAGTTTGCCAATACCTGTCAGCTTGGAAAGTCCAAGTGAGGAAAGTCAGAAGAGGAGTGGTAAGACCTGAATCCTCCCAACCACGCCCTAGCGGCAGGCACTTCGTTTCTAACACCGTAGTCACTTCTTTACCCCCGAAGTCTGGGAATTAACCATTATGATGCACGTCTACTATGTGTAATGAATCAGGACCACGATCTCAAACATTTATTTCTGAACATTCAAAACCCATCCCCTAGCTTTCTGAAAATATACACTAAATTACCGTCAGCCACAGTCACCCTGCAGCGCTACAGAACACCAGCACGTACTCCTCCCATCTAGCAGTGCTCTGTGTCTGGTGACAGCCCTCTCCCCATTTATCCTCCCCCTCTCTCCTTCTTAGCCTTTAACAATTCTCCGCTTTGGTGAGCTGTTTTTGTAGCTCCCACATGAGTGTGACCATGAGGTCATTTACCTTTCTGTGCCTGACTTTCCATTAAGTGAGCCCTAATTTTCAATTCTTCTGCCATTATAGAACAAAACAGAAACAGCAACAAAAAGATACCTGCATGTCTCTAGACAAAAAGTAACCCAAAGGCAGTTGTGAAATGTGCCACACCTGCATGCGACGTTCAGTCTCCAACGCCATGCGTGCTGCGCACCGAAATACACGCTGGCTCTGGACCACCAAGATGAGCATTTTCACCAGCATGCTTTCCACAGGTGGCACTGGGAACTTCACACTCATCCCACTCAAAGGAGCAGTGCCCGCTGATGTTCTCCCAAACTTCACGAAATAACCACTCTGTTCTAATTTCCTCAAGCAGCCATGTACCTGTGAGCCAAAACTTTCAAGTCCAGGGCAGATATAATGCAATGCCCCACGTTAGCAGACACTCAAGACTTAGGAACCAAAGGCACAACACAGGAGGCATCTCACTTAGATCATAAAGCCACTGTCTCAGATTTTCAAAACTCTACTTGGAGAAATGTATTTCAACAATTCCCAAATTTAGAACAAAGGGACTTAAAGTCAATCCGTCTTTGGGATTTAATATTGGACCAGAATGACCGGGGCACAGTGGCGCACACCTGTAGTCCAAGCTGCTCGCGAGGATCACTGGAGACCAGGAGAATAAAGAGGAGTACACTACGGCTGTGCCTATGAAAAGCCACGTCAGTGGCTCTAGCGACCTCGAGGCTGGGCACCATAGCAAGACCACGTCCCTTAAAAAGGAAAGGGCCTCTCTCAAAAATGGCAGACTTCAAAACCAGACATTAAAAAACAACTGTTAAAAAAGTCTAAATAGAACATGCTACAATTACCTGCTATGAGGTTACAAATAACATTTCTTCATTCTCTGCTATTAAATGAGTACTCTTATCAACTCCTGCATATCTTTTTAAGCTTTTAAAAAGCAGTAAGATACTTCAGGGCTGAAATACAGAAGCACTGACACTAACAAAGGTGCTGGGAGAATGAGAAGGGACACCCCATCAAAATGTGGCCAAATGCACCCCTGTGCTGTCAAAACCCAAGGCAGTGACCCCAACACCATAACCAACCAGGCTGCCGCACGCACACAAGAGGACACCAAAACCCATTCAAGTCACCTAACTCCAGCTCCCAAATCATGTATCGCTGCACCCTCAATCCCAGGTGAGGATGCTCCAAGCCTGCAGGGCAAGCGTCACCCCAGGACACGTGAGACAGGCAGCCCCACAGAACCAGAATCTGCACTTCCACATCACTCCCCGTGTCCCCGAAGTCTGAGAAGAAATAATCTACAAGCCAGTTTTTCCACCTGCTCCCTGCCATGGGGATTTTCAACTCTCAACTCTTAAGTGGTCACATGAGGACTTCCTAAAACCACCTCAAAACTCTCAATGCCTTGGTGATCGATGAGGCATTTAGTTTTTGCTAGTTTTCAAAGCTGCTCAAGTGATTGTGCTATACAGTCAGGGGAGACCATGGCTCTGGTACACATTACTTAATTTTTCCAATAAAATTCTGGCTCATGGCATTCTTTTAAAAGTATGGTATAGTAGTCTTAAATTCTATCTTTTCATATGAAAAGGAAGCTCGTATCAGGAAAACCAAGGCTGTTCTATTGTAGATGCTTTTTGGTCTTGAAGGAGAGTCAGAAATGCATCATTCTTTTCGTATTTTCTTAAGGTTTGGCTTAGGACAAAGGATAAGCATTAAAGAAGGGAGGCAGCAGAGGCAGCAAGGGGATACATTTCTGAAGACTATTAAAAACGTAGTTGTAAAATCCTGTGCAAATGACAACAGGGCAGTTTGCAAGGGACAGTGGCTATGCTCCGGACGGGAGAAGCACTGCCCACACAAGCAGAGCCTGAAGCTGTCCTGAGCAAGTCTGAATGCAGACAAGCTGTTTCTGGGGACTGTGGAGCAATAAAAACCAAAGGCAAGTCAGTCAGTGAGACTTAAGGCAAGACTCGTTTCTGTATTCTAGAAACTTCTGTAACAACTCATTTCAGGGAAAACCAAATTTGTTATCTTTTAATTTGTTCACCATTTCACCATAAAAAGTAAAACATCAAGGCAAGACAAAAACAGAAAGACTGGCTATATACATATTTTTTGAGACAGGGTCTCACTCTGCAACCCACCAGGTTGGAGTGCAGTGGCGTGATTATGGCTCGCCACAGCCTCGACCTCCTGGGCTCAGGTGATCCTCCTGCCTCAGCCTCCCAAGGAGCTGGGACCACAGGCGCACACTACGACAACACCCAGCTAACTTCTGTAATTTTTTGCAGAGATGGAATTTCATCATGCTGCCCAGGCTGGTCTCAAACGATCTGCCCACCTCGGCCTCCCAAAGTGCTGGGGCTATAGACATGAGCCACCATGCCTGGCCTTTTCAAAAAAAAAAAAGTACTTTTTCAAAAGAAATGTTCAGAAAACATTAGCAACTTGTTCAAAACTTAGAGATGTGTGTACGCACACCCTTCATCCCTTCAAAATTAATTATCCTACTCTGACGCTTTCCTGTGCACTCACACCACAGTAAGATGGAGGTGGGCTCTGAATCTATTCACAGGCTTCTCCACAGGCAAGGCAAGAGACCTTTATAGGGGGTAAAAGGTAAGGAACTGATTGGAAAGTTTTGGATGAGACTCAGAGGTACCTGGCTTTCTACCAAAAGCTGCAAAAGACAGCATGGAAGTGGTTTATTTACCAGTGTGAATAAACCATTCACTGTGAGATTAGGACTGGTCACCTGAGGTCCTGGTCAAAGAAAATGCTCCTCTGCCCACCATGAACTACCTTTCAAAGGCCGAGTTTAGTGCTTCAAAAATACCATAGACAAGTAATGTTAGAAGACTACCATGTAGGCTGGATGTGGTGGCTCACACCTGTAATCCCAGCACTTTGGGAGGCCGAGACAGGCAGATCACAAGGTCAGGAGATCGAGACCATCCTGGCCAACACGGTGAAACCCCATCTCTACTAAACATACAAAAATTAGTTGGGTAGTGGCACATGCCTGTAAGCCAGCTACTAGGGAGGCTGAGGCAGGAGAATCGCTTGAACCAGATAGTCAGAGGTTGCTGTGAGCCAAGATGGCACCACTGCACTCCAGCCTAGCAACAGACTGAGACTCTGTCTCTAAAAAAAAAAAAAAAGAAGACTACCAAGTAATTTCTCTACAACTTAGAAATGTGCTTACCTGGACTAATTCACTTAGCATATCTACATTTCTAAAGATGGTAAACCAGAACTCTGGAATTCCTTTGGGATTTGGCTCTTCAGCTGTTGCTGCTTCTTTTTCTGTTATGACTACTTTATTTTTCACGTCTCCCTAAAAAAAAAAAAAGATGCAAACAGATCACAAAAATACAAATTTACAAATAACTCAGTGGCTTAATGCTCAGTATCACTTCCAAACCCTGTCTTATCTCCGATCAAAATCCTTTCTTTCAGAGTCTGCATCTCCAAGCCACTCACTGGGCCATGTGACACTTTTCACGTTTCTGAGGGAAAAAAGCATTCAAGACATTACGTCCACATGGAATTCCATGATATGATCTCACATCAAAGGTGAAAAAACTAAAGAGATGACAAAGTGCCACCGGCTCTGGGAATGGCCACCCTGTGCTAGCTCTATGAGGTGCCATCTTGAGACAATCGTCACCACAAATGCAGACGCAAAGACTGTACCTCAAACTTAGGGAGATGCAACACAAATATGCAGAACATCTATCACCCAGTGAAAAAAGTCCAGTGCAAGGATAAATAAGTCCACTTGGACTAATAATCTGACCTTTGGTTAAAATTTGCGGGGCAGGGGGCAGTAAGTTGAAGTAAAAAAAAAAATAATAATTTGCTGCAGCAGTATCTTCAGCAAGAAAGTACTCAGCAATTTACCCAGCTCTAAGGAAATGGCTATAAATGCCGTTTCATGGACACTATGCAACCATCAGAAAGTGACCAGAAAGGCTACCTGGCAAAGTGCAGGGGAGTTCTATAACATCAGGCCCCAGGGAAAAGGTAGACCAAGGGAAGTAAAACACAACACTAAACGGAACCATGGTAAATTCTCAATGTCTTGCCAAATGGGATTGTTACGATGAAATGATCTTGCAGGCTTTTTAAATCAGTGAAGGCAGATTTCCCTTCAGCTGTAGGAAAATGATTCACAACTATATTAATCTATAGCCATGGCTATAGGTTCTACGTATGTTTAAAGGATCAAAAACACATATGGCCACCAAAATTATCATACACCTCAAAACAAACAAATAAAAACTGCAAAAAAATTATCATAGCATAAAAGTTACTTGTCTCCCAAACAGAAAATCAGGCTGACAAAGTTAACCTGTGTACTGGGAGTTTTCAAAGCACTGGAATGGGACCAGTCACTAGAAGGCGGCTGTGCGCGGGTGACTGACGGTCACACCGCAACAACCATACTCAACCAATCCACTGGCTGAGCACCTCTCAGGGAGCACGCTAGTCCATGCCACTGAGCAGAAAGGTACTCGCCTCACAACTCCCCCCATCTTCCAGTGACTGAGCACACAGGAGCAACTCCTCTTGATCTTTGCTTTCTCTGATGTTTCGACCTTTGTTCGTCTGATCCCTTATTTCAATATGTTCCTGTCCACAGATAACTGAGGCGGCACTACATCTTCCACCTCATATTAACTGACAGGGCTGTGTCAGATGCTAGATCCGCATCAGAAAGGAATCTAAACACCCAACCTAATGATGCAGCAGCACCTACTGTGAGAAGCACCGAAGTTTACTAGTAATTAAAAAGCATGTAAAAATGCTTATTTTCAACAGTATTTAAACAGAACATGAGTCACATTTTTCTAAAGACTTACAGCCAATTTCTCCTCCTCTTCATTTTCACTGTGCCATTCCGATTCCGCATCTGTCGGTTCAACATCACCGGTGATAAATTCTCTTCTCTACATAAAAATGAAGCCTTATGAGAATTATGTTATTAGCTTATTTGGAAACTCAAGAGTTAAATGTATAAATAATGTCTACAAAAAGACTTTGAAAACTGGCTATTTTTATAACTATTTTAAGATTCTAATTCTTAAGGTTCAAAGAAAAATATTGAATGTTTCCCTGGGTAACTCTGGATGTTTCACCTAAAGATCTAAAATAAAGATGTTCCCCGACTTCCAATGGTTCGACTGAAGACTTTCAACTTCACGATGGTGCAGAAGGTACCACACTTTGGGCACCCACAGAGCCACACTGTGTTCTACTCTCAGTGGAGTGTTCAGTACAGGACACAAGACACTCAGCACTTTATTATAAAACAGGCTTTGTGGAAGATCAAAGTGTTCTGAGCTCGTTTAAGGTAGTCCAGACTAAGCTATATATCCGGGAGGTGAGATGCCTTTTTGCCCTAGATGTTGTCAGCTTATACTAGGTTTATCAGAACATAACACCGTCGAAGGCTGGAGACTATCTGTATATTAAACTCATTAACAGAGCCCCCTACCTTGTCAAAGAGAGGCTGGTATAATGCTGCATACTTTCTTTCCAAGTCATGAACTTCTTCATAGAACTTGGCTTCTATATGAGCACATCTCACCTGAAGTTGTTTCAATGCATTAATTCTTCTTTTTACTGCTTTAGGTAAACTAAAAAAGAGAATACGAGAAACATCCTCATGCCTGCAAAATAAGGAAGCATGCCTTTCTATTCTATTAAAATAAATTCAGGTTAGCAGAACTAACATCCTTACCATGAACAAGGCCTCTTAAAAATCATTAAGGATGAACATCCCAATAGGAAAAAAGGGTACAGGAGGAAGCAGAAAAGACAATTCACAAAAGAATAAACACATATTGTCCAACATGAAGAAAGATTCAATCTCATAAAATATCCAAAATTGGCCGGGCGCGGTGGCTCAAGCCTGTAATCCCAGCACTTTGGGAGGCCAAGGCGGGTGGATCACGAGGTCAAGAGATCGAGACCATCCTGGTCAACATGGTGAAACCCCGTCTCTACTAAAAATACAAAAAAATTAGCTGGGCATGGTGGCGCACGCCTGTAGTCCCAGCTACTCAGGAGGAACCCAGGAGGCGGAGGTTGCGGTGAGCCGAGATCGCGCCATTGCACTCCAGCCTGGGTAACATGAGTGAAACTCCGCCTCAAAAATAAATAAATAAATAAATAAAATATCCAAAATAATGTAAACATTTAAAAACGCTCATCTATTCCTTACCAATTTGGCAATTAAAACCAAAACAAAACGCCTACGTTTTACGAGGCTAAGGGCTAAGAAGCCCTCTAACTGACTCATCTTTCTTAAGGGCAGAAATACTGAAAATGTTCTTTGGGCGCACTAATTCTACCTTTAAGAATTTATCCTTCAGGCTGGGCGCAGTGGCTTATGCCTGTGATCCCACCACTTTCAGAGGCTGAGGTGGGAGGATTGCTTGAGGGCAGGACTCCAAGAGCAGCCTGAGCAATACAGCAAGACCCCTCTCTACAAAAAACTTTTTAAAATAGCCAGGCATGATGGTGTGCACCTGACCTGTAGTCCCAGCTACTCGGGAGGCTGAGGCAGCAGGATCACTTGAGTCTGGGAGGTAAAGGCAGCAGGGAGCTATGACTGCACTACTGCACTCCAGCCTGGGCAACAGAGCAAGACCCTATCTTACCAAAAGGAAAAAAAAAAAATTTATCCTAATCAAGTATTCATGCAGGAGTGTCCATCGATAGATCTGTAAAACTGAAAACTACACAATGGAAGTTCAACAGTATTCAAACACGGCCTATTCATCATCACACCATCCTGGAATACTCAGTACCACGCGGGAGTCCACTTGTTAACACACTGGAGGAAAAATCCCAGAAACACAGACCATAAATAACACAAGTTTGTCTTTTAGAGTCAGGCCAACGATGAGTTTGTCTTTCAATCCTGTTTTATGTTTTAAAAAATATTTTAGTTTGTATGTATAACTTCTATAAATCAGAAGAGAAATCCCTGTTTTTAACCCATCAGAACTATGTGTTTAAAATAAAGCCCCTGGTCACAATCATGTGGACTGAAGAACAGATTCCTGGCCTCATCACAGACCCAAATAATCTACCTGGGGCAAGGCCCTGGGTCCTGCATCTTGAATACTCATTCACATGATCAGAGTCCTGAAGTCTAAGCGCATGACTTACCCTCCAACAACACACTGCACAGCACAATAGGCAATTCTCACACAGGTATCACTGGGCTGGGAGGTACTGGAACAACTGCCTTGCATCCCAAAGGACCTCTCCTGGGTTAAACATAACCACAGCTACCTCAAGCTAAAGGTCCTTAATTTAAGCAAAGACTCTCAAATAATGTTTAACATTCTAGAACTACTGCTAGTAGATGAAAACAAGGGAAAAGCATAAAGAGCTTAACAACATGGAAGACTCTCACTGGCATCTGTACCTCTTTTTTGCAGTGATCATTCATTTACTGTGACAGGTCTTACTCTGTTGCCCAGACTGCAGTGCAGTGGTACAGTCTCAGCTCACTGCAGCCGCAACTTTCTGGGCTCAAATGATCCTCCCACCTCAGCATCCCAAGTAGATGGACTACAGGTGCACACAACCAGGCCAGTTAATTTTTTTGCATTTTGTAGAGATGGGGTTTGGCTACATTGCCCAGGATGGTCTCAAACTCCTGGGCTCAAGCAATCTGCCCGCTTTGGCCTCCCGAAGTGCTAGGACTACAGGTGTTAGCTACCATGTCTGGCTTATTATACAATTTTAAATTGGTTTAATTTTTGAAACTTTCCAACTGAAGTAAAATGACAAAGCATGTTAAACAAATCAGACCCTAGTGTGCCCCCAGCAGTCCTCCCAATCATTCATATCAACTACACCCAGGCCCCTGAGGGCACTTTTCCTGGAATATGGCCAATAAGGAACCACTTCTAGTCCCACACAAACTTGCTGCCACCCAGGCAGTTCTTCTCACAGAATGCCACCCCACTAACCCAGTTTTAAAGCGAGAAAACCAGAAACCATTACTCATTCTTAATTCTTGCCACTCCTGCTCAGTATCACTCTATCCCATCAATCTAATCTGCAAAAAAATAACATGAAAAACTCTTACCCACTAAGTAATCCCCTGAAAAGCTTCTAAATGGGCAAAGCAAACTCTGACTGACCTGGCCAACATGGCAAAATGCCATCTCTACTAAAAATACAAAAAGCATCCAGCAAATCACCATGGCACATGTACACCTATGTAACAAACCCAAGTTCAGCACATCTACCCCAGAACTTAAAGTAAAATTAAAAAAATAAAAATACAAAAAAGCTAGGTGGGCATGGTGGCTCACACCTGTAATTCCAGCTGTGGGAGGAGAATCACCTGAACCTAGGAGGTAGAAGTTGCAGTGAGCTGAGACAGTGCGCCACTGCACTCCAGCCTGGGTGACAGAGTGAAACTGTCTCAAAAAAATACAAAGTCCCCTTCTTGTCATAATAGCCCTGGTAGTCCTAATTGGGGAAACCAGTATGTAAGATGGGACCTCTGAGACACCAAGCCCTGACCCAATTATAGATGGAAGCCCAGTAACAGCTCATGCCTCTCAAAAAATAAAAATAAAAATTACCAGACATGGTGGTACACGCCTATAGTTCCAGCTACTCTGGAGGCTGAGGCAGAAGGATTACCTGAGCTCAGGAGTTCAAGGTTACAATTAGCTATTACATGCCACTGCAATCCAGCCTGGGCAACAGGGTGAGACTCCAACTCAAAAACCAAAATTCCTTCCAGAACTAAGACAGGGAGGTCCTGACGAGCCATCTGAGGATCACCATCCTTCTCATTTTCATATTGCAATACATCTAGGACATAGGCCTCTTGTAAGAAAGCAAAGGTGTCAGCCAGGTGTGGTGGCTCACCTGTTATCCCAGAATTTTGGGAGGCGGAGGCAGGAGAACCAATTGAGCCCAAGAGTTCAAAACCAAAACCAGCCTAGGCAATATAGCAAGACCCCACTTTTTTTTTTTTTTTTTTTTTTAAGACAGTCTCGCTGTCACCCAGGCTGAGGGGTAGTGAAAACTCAGAGGCGTGCAGCACTATGCCCAGCTAATTTTTTTTTTAAGGTGTCAGTGTCACAGGCTTACGTGGGTAAGCCAGGAAGGAGTAGTTCTTTAACTTAGAAGCCACCAGTTGTCCTCCAGCCCTCCACAAGATGGCACTGTGCACTTCCTATCAGACAACTGATAAGACACTCTACTTGTCCACCAAGCAAACTCTGAGCCTAAGCACAGGGTATAGGGTCACTCCTCTCTTATCAGTGCCTCTCTCTCAGAGACAATGTCTATGGAATGAAAAACACATGTATTCCTGTTCTGAGTAACTGAACAATGGTTTTTCCTTTGTCTTCCTTTCGTTTCTTCAAATTGCACGAGACCCTGTTCGCAGCATACTTACGTTTCAATGTAGCTGGAAGGGGTGTGAGGGACATTGTCAAATCGCTCCTGTAAAGCTGCCAAAACTCGAGGATTCTGCATCACCTGATCTGTGAGCTTCTCTATGAAGAGTTAAAACCAAACATATTTAAAATATGCCCACCACACACAATAGCCAAGAGTCAAAAATTAGTAACATTACCTATACATCTAATTTCTAAATACGTATACCAGTGACTTCTTAAACATGTTTTGAAAATAATTAAAATTTATTTTAAAAGCATTTAACACTCTAGGTTAATCACCTGATGGGTCATTACAAATCTACTGAACAAATACCTGGAGTCCTGGTTCTCTCTGCGGCTGTTTAGCTGCAGACTTAAACGACTGAGGACATCATTAATAATTAAGTTCAGGTGGTCTACCCATGCGTCCCATTGTGGTGTCCAGATGCCAAGAACAGAGACGAGATCAGTTCCTCAAAGCAAAAGTGCACCCGCTAGCACCCTCGTTCACTGTGGTGCCATGGACTTCAGTCTAGGAGAGCCCAACGCTCACCAGCCCCTGACGGCACTGTTCTTTGCATGTGCTGCTCCTGCCTTGAATGTTCTTCTGCCCAAACCCACCTCCGTCTAGGAAGCACTTTCGACCATTCCACCCACTTACGGCTAACCCAGGTGTGTAGTGAGCTCACAGTCCTGAGGTGTTTGTATTCAGAAGCCCATTTCCCAATAAACCAATGAATGAGACCCTGTGAGGGCAGTGACTGTCCTTTTACTCAGTTGTGACTAAGGAGTGGCAGACATCTGGCTTGTGATACAGACTCTAATTTCCCTCCTAATGACACAATACAGAAACCCAAACTCATCACTCTTGCCTCACTCAGAGCTAGTACATACCCAACTATTCTCCCATGATGTGGTAAGTCTAACACACCAAGTAGGCACTCAAAAAAAAAATTTTTTTTTTTTTCGAGACAGAGTCTCACTCTGTCACCAGGCTCCAGGCTGGAGTGCAGTGGCACAATCTCGGCTCACTGCAACCTCTGCCTCCTGGGTTCAAGCAATTCTCCTGCCTCAGCATCCTGAGTAGCTGGGACTACAGGTATGCACCACTACACCCAGCTAATTTTTGTATTTTTAGTAGAGACGGGGTTTCACCATGTTGGTCAGAATGGTCTCGATCTCTTGACCTCATGATCTGCCTGCCTCAGCCTCCCAAAGTGCTGGAATTACAGGCTTGAGCCACTGCACCTGGCCTAGGCACTCAATTTTAAACGTTTATAATAGAACTGCAAACACAACCACTCACATGAGGCACTTGAAGTGTATTTAACATACATAATTTGTATATATAAAACTATGTACACGTATACAGTATATAAATACTCATGCATATACAAACACACATCTCCTCTAGCTCTGTCCACTGAAAGGGCCTACAAACAATGACATCTAGTATCTGTATTTTGGTTTCAATAGGTTGGTGCAAAAGTAATTGAAGTTTTTGCCATTAAAAGTAATGGCAAAAGCCACAATTACTTTTGCACCAACCAAGTAAGTATCTTCCTCCTTTAGAAGGATCAAAGTCTCTTGAATTAACAGTGGATTCCAGGTCTAGGGCAAGGAAAATACAAGATAAAATGGAATATCACACTAAAAAGCTAGAAGTACTCAAAAACCGAAGAGTTGAAAGAACCTAGAGGCAGTGGCCCACACCTGTAATCCCAGCCCTCTGGGAGGTCAAGGTGCACAGATCATCTGAGGTCAGGAGTTTGAAACCAGTCTGGCCTACAAGGTGAAAACCTGTATCTACTAACAATACAAAAATCAGTCGGGCGTGGTGGCATGTGCCTGTAATCCCAGCTACTGGGGAGGCTAAGGGAGAATGGCTTGAACCTGGGAGGCAGAGGCTACAATGAGCTAAGATTGCATCACTGTACTCGAGCCTGCACTAGGCTCCGTCTTAAAAAAAAAAAAAAAAAAGGGGGGGGGGTGGGGTCTCAGAATCCAGCCTGAAGGGATCCCCACTGGCCAAATGGGACGATTTGCACACCAAGAAGAAAAATGATGGCAACTGACAACACACTGAATAAAAACAGTAATTCAACCAGGTGCAGGGGCTCACGCCTGTAATCCAGCACTTTGGGAGGCCAAGGCAGGTGGATCATCTGAGGTCAGGAGTTCGAGAACAGCCTAGCCAACATGGTAAAACCCCATCTCTAATAAAAATACAAAAATTAGCTGGGCGTGGTGGTGGGCACCTGTAATCCCAGCTACTCGGCAGGCTGAGGCAGGAAAATCACTTGAATCTAGGAGGTGGAGGTTGCAGTGAGCCAAGGTTGTGCCATTGCACTCCAGCCTGGGCAACAAGAATGAAACTCCAACTCAAAAAAGAAAAAAAAAAAAAACCCAGTAATTCATGAGTCTACAGCGACACTAAAATAAGGAAAGGGAAAGTTCTTCTTTAATGGAATGTGTGGAAGAATTGGCAGAATTAGAAAAACACCCCTTTGCAACCACCAATGTTATCAGGCAAGATCATCAATGGGTGCTAAAATCACTGTGTGAAAGTTTGCTGAAGCAGAAGATATCTATACGTCCTGACAGACGGCTTGCAAGGTCAAAGGACTTTGATAGCAGAGAAATTTGGCAAGCACTGTCTTAATCATTAAGTCATCAATCTCAGTGTCCCCAGACAGGTGTTGAGCCAACATCATGTGCCTCCCGAAGCAATGACCACTGCATCATGTCACCTGTGTGCCCTTCTTGCCAAATGTTTACCTGAATCTCATCAGGAAGAAATGACTAGGCAAATCCAGACTGTGGGCATTCTATAAGACAACAGTGGCTCACGCCACTCTGATGTGTCAATGTATGAAAAGATGCAAAAGGTAGGGGGATGACTCTAGAACAAAGGAGCTAGAACAAAACAAAATACATAATCCTTGAGTAGGTGCTAGATTTGGGTGTGGGGTAAAAATTGCTGAGAAAACCCGGGAAATAGGAAAATGACTGCATGTTAGATAACAGTATTGTTCCAATGTTAAGTTTCTCGGTAACGGCATTGTAGAAAAGTTTTAGGAAAAAAGAAACCCACCACTTGTTTTCAAACAGTTTGGAGGGACTGGGGAATACAGATATATAGGGTTTTTTTTAATGGGGGAAAGATATCACATCTGTGAATTTATGAACAAAATGACATTCCTAGGATTTGCTTCCAAACAACCAAAGGAAGGAAAGCTAAGGGTATAGGCAGAAAAGCAAATGGCCAGGTGCAGTGGTCTGTGCCTGCAGTCCCAGCTACTTGGAAGGCTGAGGCAGGAAAATCGCTTGAACCCAGGAGTTCAAGACCAGCCTGGACAACATAGCAAGGCTCCACCTCAAAAAATAAAAGACTGGTCATTTGTTGATCAATACTAAAGCTGAGTAATGGCAGGCACAAGAAGGTACACTGTACTTTCGCTTTCCTATTGTAGAGTCTGAATTCCTATAATAAATAAACAATAAATACATCTTTTATTAATGAGAAACTGAGTTTTCATTTTAATTAATCTAACTTTCCTAAAAAAAAAAAAAAAAAAAAAAATCACTGAAGTACGGGAATCCCTTACTTGCATTAATCAATGGTTCCAGAGAGAAGATTCCCCATCCTGCAATCTCCTCTCCAACTGCTATGTTTTTCATGTGCAGTGAACTGACCTGTATTACTTGCGTTTTTAGCAGCTTCCACGGAATCTGAAGGAACGCCATCTGAAAAACTAAAACAACAGTATGTTTAAAAAGTATTACTATAAAGAAAGTTCCAAAGACATAGCACAAATGGACAGGTTTCTTATTCAATATATTAAGAGGTATCTCTACAGTGACATCAGATTTGGGCAGAAGACCATTACTACTGTGTCTATGTTACCTAAGAGACTGTCCTCTGTTACAAAAACATTCTATTACGTAACACCCCCTCTTCTCCCAAACATACAGCCCTACAAAGTTATTTCCAATCTTGGCCAAAGCTTCTTAAGACAACTTTCATTTCTACATCTTCTTTCTTCAAAACACTGCTCCCAGCCCTCAAACCAAACCCATCAACCAACAAGCATGTTACTGTTTGGTCAGCTGCTCATGTGATCAGAGCAAGGCAATCTTATCAAGTTAAGACAGTGCCCAAAGTGGCTTTATAAAATTAGCCATGGAAAGTATAAAATTAGCCAGCAAACAGTTTTTAAAGATGCCTGGACACACTTCCCTCATAAAAAAATAAACATCATATAACATACACAACTAAAAGTGACCCTCAATCCACAAAAGAGAATCTTCCACTAGATCACTGACAACTACAGACACTTAGGATAGTGTCAAGTTAGTTACCTGACTTCAGCCCAGGGGTGTTACAAAGCAGGGAGAGCACAATGATTGCTTTCCATAAAGGATCTGTAAGTGTCAACCTCTGAGGTACTGATCATGTCTGAAGTAATTTCTTCATGTGCTCCAGTACACACACAGGAATGAGCCATCAGCTAGACCCTGAAATGCACTTAACTTTGATTCTAATGCTTATTGAAACATGGCTTGGCTGTTGCTCACCAACTGAATTTTAAACTTCAATAAACAAAGCCCACTTTGGCTTACCTGTTATCTGCCATCTGAATGTTTTTATCCCTATAAATGAAAAACAGTTGTAATCATTATATTCATAAACAAAAATATTTGTTCAATATACTTTTAAAACAATGGTTGCCTATGGGATGGAGTCCACTAGAAGGGGCAGGAGGGAACTTTCTAGAGTATTGAAAATGTTCTAGATCTTGACTGAGGTTACCTGGATAAATGCATTTGTTAAAACTCATTAAACTACATACTTCAGATCTGTGCATTTCATCACACACAAACTTGACTCATAAAAATTTCTCACCCGGGCGCAGTGGCTCATGCCTGTAATCCCAGCACTTTGGGAGGCTGAGGTAGGTGGATCACTTAAGGTCAGGAGTTCAAGACTGGCCTGACCAACATGGTGAAACTCCATCTCTACTAAAAATGCAAAATTAGCCAAGCAGGGTGGTAGGATTACACCTGTAATCCCAGCTACTTGGGAGGCTGAACCCAGGAGGTAGAGATTACAGTGAGCTGAGATCGCACCACTGCACTTCAGCCTGGGCGACAAGAGAAAAAGTCCATCTAAAAAAAAAAAACTCTTATTGGCACTAAAATAACCATACTTCAAAATAACATCAATTCTAATTTACCTTATCTTTTATGACACAATTTGGCAACACAAACATATATTACTGCTAGTTCAATTATTTTAGAGTAATTCAAAGCATTTACTAGTGTTTACACTTTCAAATTAACTTAGGGGGTTATTTTCTAATTGCATTTGTTTATTCCGTATCTTCCATTACTTCTACGCCGAGGATGTACTGCTTGCGTAAAAACCTGGCATAATGTACTCAGTATTATCCCACTTTTAAAGACGATTATTTCTATACTGATAGAACTAGATGACATTATAACTGAACATAAAGGGTGGGTTCTAGGGAGCTTCTTAAACAGGAGTCGATATTAATAAAATTTACATTTTTTTTTTTTTTTAAAGACAGGGTCTCACTGTTGCCAAGGCTGGACTGTGGTGATGCAATCCTGGCTCACCGCAGCCTCTGGGCTAAAGCAATCCTCCCACCTCAGCCTCCTGAGTAGCTGAGGCAACAGGCACGTGCCACCAGGCCCAGCTAATTTTTTTTGTAGAGACAAGGTCTGGCTAAGTTGCCCAGGCTGGTCTCAAACTCCTGGCCTCAAGAGATCCTCCCCATCTCAGCCTCCCGAAGTGTTGGGATTACAGGTGTGAGTCAACATGCCTGGCCTATACAATTTCAAAATCTAATCTAAATGCATTTAAAGTATTTTAAGCTAAAGGCATCGCTTAAAAACATCCTTAAATGTAAAGTAAACAGGTGTGGTTATGAAGTTCCTTAAACTCAGATGTGGTAAATACACCTGAGAGCCTCACTAAAGGGCTGTTCCAGCCGAAAACTGGTCAACGTTCATTCCAGTATCTCAGCAAACCCCAAACCTCTGAATCACACAGCTTTAGGGTAAAACAAATCAACAACAACAAAACCCTCTACATTTAAGAAAAATAGCTCCAATTATGATCTACAACTGTTCTGTATTTAACTCAACTACTTTTTTAAATTAAGGTTTTTACTGTTTCAAAATAAAATGTGCTATTTTTAAGATTCAAAATACAAGTATTAACATTGCTTTTTTCAAAAAACTAAATTATTTGTTTTAATGAAGCAGATGAAAACCAAAAAGGACAAAAAATGCAGCAGGCACAGTGGTTCACACCTATAATCCCAGCACTTTGGGAAGCAGATTACCAAAACTCAGGAGTTTGAGACCAGCCTGGGCAACATGAGGAAACCCCATTTCTACAAAAAATACACAAACTTAGCCAGGCGTGGTGGTGCGAAACTGTAGTCCCAGCTACTCAGGAGGCTGAGGCAGGAGAATCGCCTGAGCACAGTGAGCCAGAATAACACCACTGCACTCCTGCCTAGAAGACAGAGCGAAACTGTCTCAGCACAAAACGAGGGAAAAAAAATGCGACAGGACGTGGTGGTTGATGCCTCTAGTCCCAGCTACTTGAGAGGCTGAGGCAGGAGCATCACTTGAGCCCAGGAATTGGATGACTGGAGGCTACAGTGAGCTATGATTGTCCCACTATACTCCAGCCTGGACAACAGAGCAAGACCCCGTCTTAAAAAAAAAAGGCGGCAGGGTGGGGGGTGGGGGGGGGGTGGGGGGTGAGCAACAAATCCTACAACGGCTGGCTATGCTCACCATCACGACCACAGCAACAACCCAAACCCAGCCCTAGTCAGTGAAGATCGAAAAACCCTTCAATAAAGGCCAGGCTCGGAGGCTCACGCCTGTAATCCCAGCATTTTGGGAGGCTGAGGCAGGCAGATAACCTGCGGTCGGGAGTTCGAGATCAGCCTGACCAACATGGAGAAACCCCCATCTCTACTAATACAAAATTAGACAGGTGTGGTGTGCATGCCTGTAATCCCAGCTACTCGGGAGGCTGAGGCAGGAGAATCACTTGAACCCGGGAGGTAGAGGTTACAGTGAGCCCAGATCACGCCACTGCACCACTCCAGCCTGGGCAACAAGAGCAAAACTGTCTCAAAAAAAAAAAAAAAAAAAAAAAAGGTCCTGTCACCTTCTGCAAAATACACATTCCTACCAATTCAGGCCCCGTCTACCTCCCCACACTGATTCCCACTCAGGCTCCTCTGCCATGTTTGCTGCACAGTATTCCTGAGGTTAGATTCACCTTCTCTCATATTACAAATGCAAGGTGTGAGGCAGTCAGACGTCTAAGTAATTGCTTAAGGACAACATTCTAAGAGCTAAAACACCATCTACCAGTTGAAAATAGTGAGGTGAATTTTTTTCTGTTATATGCTTTGATAATGTCTCCATGAACATCTCAGCTTACATGGCTTCCAACTCCCAGTTAGCCTTAATTCATACGGCAACTGCATGACCGCTACAGTAGCATTTCTGGGTCAAAAAGCATGAATGGATTCTGATACATAAAACTAGTTAGTTACACATCAACTATAATTTGGCTACTTAATTGAAGCCCGCCACTGCCTAACAAATATATCAAACAGCACCTTCGTTATACCACACACACACACTAATTGCTGAAAGGAGTCCACTGACCTGGAAGCATCTATCACTGTCAGTTTAACGGACAGACTCTTGTTTTCACCACCCAATAAATAATACCTCATAAAGCCACGCAATTCATCTCCAACACCGCCTGTACTAGCAAGGCACCTACATGTCAGGCACTTCATACATTTTATATAAACCAACTTCAACTCCACTAGGGAGGGACTATCCTCAGTTTTTGTGAAAAGAAGCTGAGGCTTGGAAAGGTGAGGTGCCTAATCCAAGATTACATGACGAGTAAAACATGCGTTTGTGTTTCAAATAGGACTCCTGACCTTTACCTAGTACCCCCACCACTTCACTCTGGCTGTTTCTACCTGCTCACTAAAGACTGTTGCTGCTAGGCCAGGCGCGGTGGCTCACACTTATAATCCCAGCACTTTAGGAGGCTGAGGCAGGCAGATCACCAGAGATCAGAAGTTTGAGTCCAGCCTTGCCAACATGGTGAAACCCCAACTCTACTAAAAATACAAAAATCAGCCGGGCGTGGTGGCACACGCCTGTAATCCCAGCTGGAGAGGCTGAGGCAGGAGAATTTCCTGAACCCAGGAGGAGGAGTTTGCAGTGAGCCAAGACTGCAATCCAGCCTGTGCGACACAGCAAGATTCCATCTTAAAAAAAAGATTCTGTTGCTGCTATTGGAACAGGTGACAAGCCAACAGCTTAGTCAGGGTCAAAGTCCTGCTGTTTAGCAATATCTCCAAGAAATCCATTTTGTCTGGAAATGGAGTACAAAAATATTCCCTTTTGATTCTGTTCACTATGCAGTCCCCGAGTCCTTAGTTCCTGGCACAGTATCGGTTGAATGCTTAAGCAACCTATTTTATGACATGGGCTGAAGTGATTCACCTTCCCGTGGAATGGTACCTGTTCCAACTTAACAGAGTCCATTGATACAATGATTCACTCAATTCCAGCGAAGGCATGTGCTTTTTTTTGGGAGACACAGTCCAACTCTGCTCCCCAGGCTGGAGTGCAGTGGTATAATCGTAGCTCACTGCAGTCTCAAACTCCTGGCTTCAAGTGACTCTCTCACCTGAGCCTCCCAAGAAGCTGGGACAACAGGCATGTGTCACCACACCTGGCTAATTTTTATTTTTTATAGAGAGAGACAGGGTCTTGCTGTGCTGCCCAGGCTGGTCTTCAACTCCTATTGTCAAGTGATCCTCCCACCTTGGCCTCTCAAAACGCTGGGATTACAGGAAAAAGGCACCATGTCCAGCCCAGCATGTGCTGTTTAATATTACTTTTGGTGACAAGATGACAAGGCAGTTAAATTAAACTCAACACAATATTCTTTTTATTTTAAAAAAGTGCTAAATCAAGGATAGAAAAACAAAATAATGAATTTACACAATAAAGAAAATAATTTTGACTAAAGAACCAACCAACCCCGAACTCAATGCCTAGAACAGGTAGACACACACACTGAAGAGCCTGATTTCAAATCCTACCCCTATCATTTCCCAGCTGCATAACCTTCTTCTGGACCTCAGTTTCATCATCCACAAACCAGAAGACAGTGGCTACCTGAGAAGCTGTTAATGAAGACAAATTGCCTAGTACGTAACAGCAGGCCAGGTCTCTTCGCACTTTTCTAACTGTCATGCATATAGACTATGTCTATTCCCTGACATGAAACCAACAAATGGAGTTACTTTAAACACTGCACCCTTTAGATAGGTTGAGTATCTCTTATCTGAAATGCTTGGGACCACAGGTGTTTCAGATCTTGGAATATCTGTATAAACATGACCAGGCATCTTGAGGATGGGAACCATGTCCAATCATGAAATTCATTCATGTTTCCTATGCATCTTATTCACACAGACTAAAGGTAATTTTATACAATATTTTAAATAATTTTGTGTATGCAACAAAGTTTTAACTGTGACGCATCTCATGAAGTCAGGTGT